CGCCAAACATCCCCGCAGCTTGTAGGCCCCCTTCCTCTCGAGCGCTCTCAGCTGGCTTCGGAGGGCCGTAGTGTTGGCTCCCTCCTCGAGCCCTCTACCGTCATGGTGCTCGGCGGCGGCCCTCCAAAGGCCCACCTGGGGAGTTTCACGGACCAGCCCCAGCCCCAGGATGGTGGTTCAGTCAGGGTCTTGCTCCCAGGCGTCCTCCGAAATAGAATAGAGGTCGCCACAGGGATGCTTCCAGGTCCAGGGCCCCTGGGGATCCCAACCAGCCGAGCGTAAAGCATGAATGGTGCCACTGATAATTCCGTTGACCTTTAGCCAACGTCGCTGAGTGGGGGCCTCCTCCAGGCCGGCAGCAATTCTGGGCCAAACTCGAATGGCCCGCTTCCGAAGGAGAGGCGAGGAGGCCATTCTCCTAATTCCCCCCCCCTCTCTCCTGTCCTCCCTCCCCCCTCTCTCCTGTCCCCCCCCCCCTCTCTCTTTTCGCCCCCCCCCCCCCCCCCCCTCTCTCCTGTCTCCACAATTATTCAATATGACTACCACTCTCCCTCTTCCTCTGACGACGGCTTGAAAGTGTCCGACCCCCCCCGCGTACTGTTTTTTTACACACAGATTTCCCCGGAGTTGGGTTTTCGCCTGCATTTTTTTCAAAATGCTGCTCTCGCTGAGGCGCCGGCCTCATTTTCGGGCCCCGCTCGTTCCGAATCGTGCTCCCGCTGCAGCGCTGGCCTCATTTCCGTGCTTCCGCTCGTTCCGAATCGTGCTCCCGCTGCAGCGCTGGCCTCATTTCCGCGCTTCCGCTCGTTTCGACTCGTGCTCCCGCTGCAGCGCTGGCGTCATTTCCCGTGCCATGCCACAGCATGCAATGCAATGCTAGGTTGATACTACGCTTTGCGGTGCTCTTCTACGCCATGCCATGCCGTGCTCTACAATGCATCGCGTACCCTTTCGGGATCATTGCCCTGCTCGACATCCGACTGTGCGAGTAGGAGAGGGGATCTGCGCCATGGTAAGGGATGGGAGGGAGGGGTGGATGTCAGATATGACGCGAGCGCACCTAGCTTGCCCCCCCCCCCCCTCTCTCCTGTCCCCCCCCCTCTTCCCCACCCCCCCCTCTCCTCCCCCCCCTCCCCTCTCTCCTGTCCCCCCCCTCCCCCCTCCTCCCCCCCACCCCCCCTCCTCTCTCCTGTCCCCCCCCCACCCTCCCCCCCCCTCTCCCCCTCTCCCCTCCTCCCCCTCTCTCCTGTCCCCCCCCCTCTCCTGGGGGCGGACAGGGGGGGGGGGTACCGAGCACTGAATTCGTCAGTTAATTACGTCCCCCCCCCCTCCCCCCTCCCAAGCAGAGCTAAAGCTCATGCTGAAGCAGAGCTTCAGCTTAGACTTTCTTAAACTCACACGCCGGATCGGCGTCAGCTTAGACTCTTTAAACTCACACGCCGGATCGGCGGATTTATGTGGAGCATTCGAAAGACGGCCTTGCCGTCGAGGATCGAAGGGGTGAGTAAAACGAGGCCGCCTCCGCCGGCGGAAGCTCGGCGGAAGCCGGCGAAAGTAAAAGGTTCGCTCTCTAAGAGATGACAACATGTTTGGGTTCAGGGTGTTCGGGAACCGCCATATTTGGAGGTATTTAAATATGAGAACGAGACAGGAAAACAGAGAGGGAAAGTCAGCGAGAGACAGGCCGACCGACCGACCGACAGAAATATTGACGGAGAGAACACGCCCCCATCGAACTGAAATCCGCGTTCCGCTTGCAGGTTCCTTAGGGCCAACGCGGGCATTACGTCGTCGAAAAGGGCGTTCAAAAATAGTGGGGGGGGCATGACGAGAAGGAAGGATGCGGAGGTGAAGGTGCTAGCGTATTACTTGGCGTTGAGTAGGGTTTCAAACGTGATGTATAACGGTTTTGGTTCTTCTTCCCCATAGCAAATGGCACGCTCATGTGTACACGGTGGGGCGTCGGCATGATAGAAAGACAGGAATGGGATTCGTCGTCGGTCCACGTCTTCTTCTCATTCTGCCCATCGCCGCTGTCTCGTACTTCTTGTCTCAGAGACTCGTTCGTACCTTCAACCACCATTACCACACCTCGCCCTATTCATCCTCGTGTATACCACCGTCATGGTTCAGCGTGGTGCTGTGGGCAAAGTACACTCGGCGAATTTCGTTTCAGTCGTGTTTTTGCACAAGCACTGGCGCACGCGATTGGAACCGGGCAGTCGTAAGACCCCTGCAGACACCGTATCAGCTCGGGTCGCCGTGTGACACGATTGTCCGCAGTGCCTCTATTATCTTTTTTTGTCTCTCTCCCTTCCCTTCTTTTTCTGTCGTCTCCCTTCTTTTTCTTTCTTCTCCTTTTTTTGTCTTCCTCCCTTATTTTTATTGTTCTTTCGTCTCCCTTTTTTTGTCTCTCTCCCTTCTTTCTCTTCCGTCTCTCATCGCCATCCCAATGCCTCCCGCGCCCTTGTCCAGCACCACTGTGACGACGACGCGCCCAGGGCGCCCCTTGACCAGGGCACGCCGGGGAAGCTTGACACCAGCAAGGCTCGCAGTCCGGGCATCGGCGAGGGCAGGATTGGCAAGCTGCTCGAGGAGAAGGAGGAGAACGAGGAGCCAGGAGAATGGATCGGAGTTGGACAGACCTCCTACCCTGACACGTCGATCAAGGAATGGGCCGTTTTCGGCACGCGAAGGGGCGTCGCGGCCGTCATGTTTGCGGGTCCAGGTCCGTGGGTTTCGGTCCCAGGCGCTTTTCACTGAGGGGAGGTTTGCCAAAGGGAGGCTTGTCCACCGCCGAAGGGAGGAAGCGTAGCGGGAGCAGCAGGAGGAGCCTGATCTTTCCGCGCCAAACAGGGCCACAGCTTGTGTTGCGAGGTGTCCGGCCGCGGCTTGCCCTGGGTCTTGCGGTTTACACCAGACCCTCTTTCAGCTTCTGATTCCCCCTGATAGTAGCCATGTCCCTCCGGATCCAACTTGCATCTCGGCATGCATGTTTGCGGCAGGTGTTTCTCACGTCACGTGATCGTCGGATTTTGTCCGCGTGAAAAAACGTGCGCGGAGCGTGGGATCCAATGTAAACCCAGCGCGCACATCTTGGGCATTTCCCACGTGGCGTCACGTGTCTAGGCCCCCCGGTTGATGTCGGACATGCGGTCGTCGGATTCTGAGCACGTTGACTTTGTACAGATTTTTGCGCAGAGGGGGGCATCCAACGTGGGTCTGGCGCTTACGCATATGGCTCGTGTTTTCACGTGTCACGCCCTCCAGGGGGATGTCCAACGGATCCTTCCCACGTGCAGTAAAGGCGCTCACGGGGGTCTCCAGCATGCGTTTGGCGCGTGCGCATCTGGCACGGGTCTTCCGGTCTTCACGTATACAGGCCTCCAGGGGGGTATGGATTATGTTGTCGCCGGATTCTTCTCACGTGTAAATGCGGGTGCGGATGGGGATCTCCAACATTCGTCTAGCGGGTGCGCATGTGGCACTTTTTCCCCCGCGTCCAGAACCCCATGCGGTCGCCGGATCTTCACGAGGGCAAATACACACGCGGAGGGGGTATCCAACGTGCGTCTCGGCACGCATGGGTGCGGCACGTGTTTTCACGTGTTTTCAGCGGCACGGATCTTCCCCCGTCCAGGCCTCCAGCGGGATGTCGAACGGTCGTCGGATTCTGAGCACGTGCGAATACGCGTGCGGGGGGGTCTCCAACATGCGTCCCGGCACGATGCATGCGTTTGGCACGTGTTTTCGCTATGTTTTTGGCGCTAAAGGTGCAGCAGATGGGAAGTCTCCTGCGAAACGCGTGGTCCGCTTTACACGGCGTAGCCAAGCACACCGCGCAGAAAATCTCAGAATGGCATCGAATAGCATACCATGACGTGCTAACGCGAGCGTGCAACCGAAGTGTCACAACGAAGTCTTACTCAAGTTCCTTGCTGTGCCCGTAGATCCCTCATGACTTTCTCCGAGTGGTATCCAAGTGCCTGCCGCAAAACCACCACCTTGCCGGAGAAGCACTCTCTGTGACGATTTTTCGGGCACCGCCAAGATGGCCGTCACATGTGGCGGTTCTCGGCTCCACTGCTCGAGGAGTTCTCATGAATCAGGAGGAAAAGAAATACGCAGACACAATGAATCCTCGATTCCCCAGAAAATTATGGAAAATATGGAAAGTGGGCGGGAAGATAGAAACCAAGAACATATGGGAAAATATGGGGAATAGTTTTATTGAGGAGAATTTATTTGTGTGTCCTTGGGCCCCTTCATTGAAGCATATTTGGGCCGTTGGGGGGACTGTTTGGCTCCTGTGGGGCAGTCTTGGAGGTCCCGTTGGGCCCGCGTCGGTCGTCTTGGGGCTCTTTTGGGCCGCCTCGGGCCCCTCGTTGGCAGTCTTGCTGCCCTGTTATCCTTCTGGGGGCATCTTCAAGCCGTCTTGGGACCCCCTTGGGCCGTTTTGGGGCCTTCTGAGGCCGTATTGGGTTCGTCCAAGTCCCTTCCTGGGCCAGGTTGGGGCTCCTCTTGAGCCAATCAGTGAGCCCTCTTGGGCCCTGGAAGACCGCAAAGGGAGCGATGTTCGTCCGAAGAGCGTGGGAATCGAAACGCATTGCAAAACTCAGGGACAAACAATGCCTTTCAAATTGGGCCCATGGTTTGGAATCCGCAGCGCCGCGCATCTCGCCTCCTCGTTCTCCTTCTCCTCCTCCTCCTCCTCCTCCTCCTCCTCCGCCTGCCTCTGCTCTCCGCATGTCTACGCCGTCACCACTCACACGTTTCGTGCCCTCATGGGGATCAAGAACGGACAGAAACACAGAGACACGATTAATCGTCGATCCCGAGGAAAACATTATGGGAAACTTTGGGAAGTGGGGGGGAGGCGAAAACCTAGAAAATATTCGAACATCCAGAGGATCCTGGGGTCTGTGCCTATTTCTCTGCGTCTCCCTGGGCCCCTCCAGGGAGGCGTCCCCTGCGGTCTCCGTGGGCGCCGACGCGTGGTGCCACCGCCCCCCAATTTGGGGCACACCCCTCGCGACGACCGCGGCCCCACGTGGGGAGCTCCACCGACGGCCTCCGCGGGCGCCAGCGCAGGGCGCCACCGCCCGCGTGTCGACACGCTCCTCACGACGACCGCCGCCTTGTCCCATGTGGGAGCTCCACCGACGGCCTCAGTGGGCGCCAGCGCGTGCACTGGCGCGCCAGATCCTGCCACTCTCGGTGGCCGTCCCGTGAGCTTATCATACGTAAGCCTTGTAGAGCCCAGGAGGGCCTCAGGGAGGCGTCGGGTGGTCCAGGGGCCCTCGGGAGAGAGGGCCGGCAAACGCAACGGAGCGTGTCGCAAGGGGGGGGCGGAGGCCTTTTTTGAGAGTTCTGGGAACTCTACCAGACGGCCCTGGCCATTCCACGTCTCACGGTGGCGGACACCCGTACGCAGTTCCTCTTCCCTCACTTTTTCCGTTCAGGAAGGAACAAAAACACACAGACACAAGCAATCGTCGATTATCCAGAAGATATGGGAAAATATCGGAAGTGGGGGGGGAAGGTAAAAGCCCCGAACATATAGGAAAAGTAGGCCTCCTGATATTTGCGTCTATTTTTTGTGCGTGTCCCAGAGCCCCTCTGTCCGTCCTTCCTCCCTGCCTCCTTAGTTTTATGTCGGGCGTGTCCCCCTACAGGGGGATTTCCGACGAACATTTTGTTTTACAGAAAAAGGCCCAAAAAATACAACTTTTGGGGCTACTTGGGGATTATTTCTAGGGTATTTTTTATTTTTCGTCGAAACTCCCCCTGTAGGGGGACAGGCCCGACTTGACCTTTGCTCCCTTCTCCCTCCCCCCTTTCTCGCTCCTCCCTCCTTCCTCCCTCCTCCCTCCTCCCTCCTTTCTCCCTCCTCCCTCCTCCCTCCTCCCTCCCTCCTTTCTCCCTCCTCCCCACTTGACCTTAGCTCCCTCCTCCCTCCCTCCTTTCTCGCTCCTTCCCTCCCTCGCTCCCGCCCTGCTCCCTCCTCGCTCCCCCTCTCCTTCTCCCTGCGCCCTGGCATTGTGCAGGCCTTGCGGCCGGCGCCGCCGACCCTGACGGGGGAGGGGGACGACGACGACGACGACGACGACGACGACGACGACGACGACGGCGGCGGCGACGGCGACGACGACGACACCGACGCACCGACGCACCGACGCACCGACGCACCGACGCACCGACGCACCGACACACCGACACACCGACACACCGACACACCGACACATCGGCACGGCGACTGCGACTTCGACGGCGACGAAAAGCAGTGAAAAGCTTCAGAGTAATCATTGCTTTTACACTGTTGGGGTTTTCTTGGGAGTTCTCTTGTGGCTCCCATGGGCCGCTCGGGGGCTTCTCGCTGGCTTCCTGGGCGCCTCTTGGGGCCTCCTGAGGGCCTCTCGGGACGGAAGGCTCGAAAGGTCGGTTAGTGTTCCCCCCCTTCTCGGGAGCTTCTTGGGGCCCTCTTGGGGCCCTATCCGGCCGTCTCAGGGAACTCGTGGGCGGTCTTGGGGCACTTTTGGACCGTCTTGGAGCCGTCGTAGACCGTTTCTGGGTCCTCTCGGCAGCCTCTTGGACGGTTTTGGTGCGATTCTGATGTTTTCCTGGGCCGTCTTGAAGCGTCGGAGCGTCGGAAGCCCGAAAAGGCGAGGAAGCGAAAAAACATAGAACGTCTAAATGAGTATCTTCTTGGGGCTCTCTTAGGACTCCGCCTGGAGCCATCTTGGGGCATCTGGGAGGCTTATGAGGCCGTCTTGAGGGTATCTTCGGCCGTCTTGGAGCGATCTTGGGGTTTTTCAGGGCCCTCTTTGGGCAAGTTGCGGCAGAAGTGAGCCCGAGGCGTCTGGGAGGCAAGGAATCGAAGGGGAAAGCTTCTCCCAGGGAGGGGTGTCCCCCCCCCGGTGGGGCGGGTCACAACCCCGGGACCCCCCCCCCTGGGGCCCCTCCGCCTTTGTGAGACCCCCCCACCCCACCCACCCTTGGCAGGGGATAGATTAAAAGGGAATGGGCGTCCCTTCAGCTCGATTACGACGTTGCTCGATTGTTTGTTTGTTGGATTTGTTGACTATATGGGAGGAACGCCATCGGAGTAGCTTTTGAGGCGTCGAAGGAAAAAATCTGTCACGCATGCCGACAGGGTCGGCGGACTGTTACACCTTCTCGTCACACGAGAAACTACAAGCAACCAAATAAGGCCTATTGCGACTATGCCTCGCACTGGCACGCGCATCATGCCCAATGGAGGAAGGGAAGGGCGCATTATGAAGAGGAGGAGGAGAGGAGAGAAGACGGCGGAGGAGGAGGAGAAGAAGACGGAGGAGCAGGACGAGGACCAGTGTAAACCCGAGTCGCGTCAACGGTGTTGCAATAACCCCTGCCTCAGAGTTCCTCTTCAGCAGGTCCCTAGAAGAGTGTTTGCTCACTGCGGGAAGTGGCCGATTCGAAGACAACTGTTTGAGAATATTCAACAGTGTCAGTTCATTTGATGTGAACGCCGCGGATCAACGTGACTGCTGCGTCCGCACAATCCTCAACCGCGCCAGAACTCCATTTCTGGGACTTCGACACCGCGACTCACCGCGACTGCATTCGCGCCAGAACACAATCCTGGGGACTTTGACCACACGAACCTTTGAAATGGAAAGTGCGCGCCGCTAGAGCGAGAGCCACATTTGGAAAAGGAGCCACCCCCACCCGTGAAGTGCTTGCAAACGTTTGAGACGAATGTTCGCGGCGCTCAGGCGAGAGCCACATTGTGCAGACAGCCCGCCCCCCACCTGGTGAAGCTGCGGCAAACGTTCAAGACGGGTGCGCCCGCTGCTGAGGCGAGAGCCCCAGTTTGAAAACCACCCGCCGTCCATCCGTAAAATGGTTGCACCCTCAAAGCCTCAGGGTCCTATATGGCGAGGGCGTCTCAGGCAAAACTCCCGTCCCGCACTTCCAACCCGTTTGGGCGGTGCGACAGGGAGGAGTTGTTTACGAGGAACAGGGATGGAGGAGGAGGAGGAGGAGGAGGAGGAGGAGGAGGTGGAGGAGGCGGAGGAGGCGGAGGAGGAGGAGGAGGAGGCGGAGGAGGAGGAGGAGGAGCGGGAGGGGGAGGAGGACGAGCTGGAGGGCGAGGCCGCGGGCGACGGGGAGGACGGCGGGGGGGGGGAGCGTGGGAGGAGCGAGGCGAGCGGGAGCAGCTGGCGGAGGGGACCGGGAGGGCGGAGGGGGAAAAGCCGCTCGCTGCACGGCAGCTCCCCGCTTCCCGCGGCCCGCGCCGAGCTCGCGCGCCCTCCGCCCGACGCCGCGGGGCCTCAGCGGCGGGGCACCGCGCGGCAGCTCCGCTCCGCCCGCGCCCCCCGCGCGCCCCGGGGAGGCGCCCGCACGGGCGGGTTCGGGCGCTGCGTGCGGTCGAGAGCTTTGGGATACGGCGGCAGCCCAGGCCAGGAAGCGCCCTGCCTGCCTCCTGGGTGCCCTGGGCTTCTTGGGTTTCGATGGTCCTGCTCTGGAGCGCGAGACGCTCCCACCCCGAAAAGTCGGCGGACGTCCTGGGGTCCCGGGGACGGGCTTCTTGTGGAGGGCTTCTTGTCGTCGAGCTCCCACTGTAGCGCGTCGCTCAGCCGGTCCTGGCCCACCACGCCTCGGCGCGGCACCAGCGGCTCACGCTAAAAATTCGCGAGGATCCAGGCCTCTCCCGGAAAAACGTCGCGAGAGTCTGGGCCTCCCGCAAAAATCGCGAGAATCCGAGTCTCCCAGAACAAATTGCGAGAGTTCCAGCTTCCCGCAAAAAATCGCAAGCCATCCATCTCTCAGTCCCTCAGCGTCCGTGTCTCGAGCTTTCCCGAGCCTCCCGCCCCCCAGAGCGCAGCGACGCGTTCTCCGCTCGCAGGGCATGGCGTGTCGCCCGGGCCGCCGCCACGGCACGCGTAGCGAAAAGATCTCGAGCGTAATTTGTGAGGGCGGCGAAGGGAGGGGGTGAAGAATGATGCATGTTCTGTGCACTTTGGGAGGGTCTGAAGGTGCAAGGTGCTCTTCCTCCTATTCCTCCTCCTCCTCCACCACCTCCCCCTTCTCCTCCTCCTCCTCCTCCTCCACCTCCCCCTCCCCCTCTTCCTCCTCCTCCTCCTCTCCTCCTCCTCATCCTCCTCCTCCTCCTCGTCCTCCTCCACCACCTCCTCCCAGTCCTCCTCCCCTCCTCCTCCTCCTCCTCCTCGTTCTCCTCCTCCTCCTCCTCCTCCTCCTCCTCCTCCTCCTCCTCCTCCTCCTCCTCCTCCTCCTCCAGTCCTCCTGACCCCAAAACGGCACGGAAGGTGAACGTATTCTCTCCCCCCCGTTGATCGCCCCCCCATGAAGCAATGCCCAAGGGTCGCTGTCCTGCTGCTCTCCGAGGCGTCCAAGAGGGGTGGTGGGGCCAGGGAGGGTGGAGATCCTGGCCAGGGCCGTGGCATCTCCCGGATCTCGAGGCCCCATTTCGTCGTTCAGCACGTTCCCTGGCCGTCCCCCCCTCGTCCGCGCACATGCGACGGCGAGGCTCCGGATTCGAGGGCCGCCTCTCGTCCCGAGCTCCTGTGCCTCTCGGGGCTCTCTCGTCGCCACGGTTGGGCTCCCCTTGAGGTCTGCCCAACACACAGCCCACGATGAGCCCGGGGGGGGGGGGCATTTGTCATTCCCGAATCCACGCTCCCCTCGCGTCGCGAAATTAGCCTGGTGAGGTGCCAACCCTTAGCAGCTTCCTGCGACGTTGGTGATGAGCCTCAATCTGTTCACAGTCCGTGTGAGGCATATGCCGAAATGGGTAGGTGGAGGGCGGGGGCGCAAGCAAACTTTCCTGCGGGGTCATTACATGGAGCTTCCCATGTGCCACGTTCAGTGAGAGGTTTGTGCCGAAATTGGCGGAGGGATCGTGTGCGAACCTTGCCTCTTGGACTGTAGGTGGAGCTCCCTGAGGGGCTTGAAGCGTGTGTGCAGTGTGCCGAAACAGGCGGGGGCAGTTGGGGGCACGCATGCAAATTGTCCCACTGGAACCGCAGATGAAACTCCCCCAGGGGCGCAAAGCGTTGGAGGAGCGTGCCGTCATGGGCAAGAGGACGCATGCAAGCTTCCCTTGTGGGGCCGTAGGTGGAGCTGCCGCGAAACGTGTGAGGGCTGCGCCGAAATGGGCGCGAGGAGCGCGTGCGGACTTTCCTATTGGGGCATCATCATCATCATCATCATCAGCAGCAGCAGCAGCAGCAGCAGCATTATCAGCATCATCAACATCAGCATCAGCATCAGCACTATCATCGTCATCATCATCATCATCATCATCATCATCATCATCATCACCACTGGCATCATCATCAAACTCAGCAGCATCATCATCATCAGCAGCAGCAGCATCCGCATCCTCGTCATCATCAGCAGCATCACCACCATCGTCATCATCATTGTCATCAGTATCATCATCATCATCATCACCACCATCATCATCATCATCATCATCATCAGCATCGTCGTCATACTCGTAAGCATCACCATCATCGTCATCATCATCGCCATCAGTATCGGCATCGTCAGCATCATCAACATCATCATCATTCCCCTGCCGTTCGTGCGCCCAAACTTCCTCCGTCCCCATATCCCTACCGATCATTCTCCTCCTCATCATCACCAACACCGCCGCCATCATCATCATCATCATCATCATCATCATCATCATCATCATCATCGTCATCGTCATCGTCATCGTCATCGTCATCGTCATCAGAAGCAGCACAAGCATCCGCATCAGCATCACCACCATAAGCAACAGCAGCAGACACATCATCACCCTCATCATCGTAATCATCATCACCAGCAGCACCATCATGATCAGCATGATTATACTCATCATCAGAACCATCACCATATTCAGATTCATCGTCATTTTCATACCCATCATCATTATCCCCATCACCATCGTCGTCATAATCAGCATCATCATCATCATCATCATCATCATCATCATCATCATCATCATCATCGTCATCATCAACAACATCATCAGCATCAGCAGCATCAACAATATCATCATCATTGTCGACAGCATCAGCAGCATCCTCAGCATGATCATCATCACCATCATCAGCATCATCGCAATCATCAGTATCATCACCGTCAGCATCATCACCATCATCATCACATCAGCATCATCAGCGTCAGCGTCGTCAACATCATCATGATCAGCATCATCATCAGGTTCAAGATCATCATGATCATCCCGATCATCATCATCATCATCATCATCATCATCATCATCATCACCTTCGTCATCATCATCACCGCCATCATCATCATCAGCATCGGTATCATCATCAGCATCATCATTAGCACAATCCTAAATGTTATAATCATTCCCAACATCACCATCAGCAGCATCATTATCAGCATCAGCAGCAGCACTGTCATCATCACCATCGGCATCATCTGCATAATCATCATCATCAGCATCGTCATCATCAGCAGCATCATCGTGCTCTCTCCCTCCCGCGCCTGTACCCATACGTACCTCTTCTTTTCCCCCCTTCCTCCTGTTTCTCCTTTTCCTCCTCCCCCTCCTCCTCCTTCTCCTCCTCCTCCTCCTCCTCCTCCTCTTTCCCCTCCTCCTCATCCTCCTCCGTAGCCATTTTGGCTGAAGTCAGGCTCCGTCCCGCCCGCGCGGGCGCCGCCTTGTCCCTGCCGCCCTGGTAACAGGTGCTTCTTGGCTGCGAACTGCCTCGTGTGGCCCTCCCCCTTCATGCCGGCAGGATGGTTCATCGCCACTCTCCGGATTAATTTCGTGATCGGCGACGGCGTGTTGCTCGTCCGGGTCACCTCTTTGCACGACCTGCTCCTGGCCGCTGCTGGCTGCGCGTGCCGTCCGCACTGCGGGACGAGGCCGCCACGGTCACTACATCGATGGAGCTGCACGCCGTACACGACCTTCCTACCGGTGGGCCCCCTCGCCATGCTGTGCGTGCGGCCACGCCGGCGATCCGCTCCGAGCTGGGGCAGACCGTGCACGACCACGCCCAGAGGGTCCACAGGCACGCCAACGCTGCCAGGCACAGCGTGGGCAGGAAGGCTCTCGCGGCCGCGAGTCGCGTCCCTCTCGCCGTCGGTGATCCTCTCCTCGAGCACGATCCCTGCGCGATCGCACCGCCCCTGCCTCCAGCTGGGATGCTGGCAGTGGGGCCCGGCAAGGATGCGCTCGGCCCGCTGCGGACGCCGCCGCCCCCGCGAATGGCCGACCTGGGCGTGCTTTCTGTCGCCCCCCATCGCTGCGTGCCGCCGCGCGGCGGAGTTCGTTCCTCCCGCTGCCGCGGCCCCTGCTGGCTCGCGGCCCGCCGCCGCGTGGGGCGATTCGGGGGCGATGTCTGCGCAGCTTGGGTTTGCCCTCTGTCTGCTCGCGGCTCAGAGCAACACCATGGCCCGGTTTTGCGAGGTGTGCTCGAGAGGGGTGTGCGCCCGTGTGGTCCCTCTCAGCCTGCTCACGATGGCGTCACTGACCCCATCTCGCATTGTGACGAGGCCGTCGCGAAGCCTCCAGCTGAGGTCGCATCCCCGGTCGTGGACAAGATGGACTGCTACCGCCGTGAGGTCGAGTCCATCGCGCACGAGCACTGTGCGCACGTCTTCGAGCGGGATCCCGCAGCGCGTCCACGACGCGAGGAATGCTGTGGCTGCTTCGTGTGCTGGCTTTGCCTCGCCATCGACCCCGGGGCTGCCTTCGCCACGCCCGTGTTCGCCTGCGCCGACTGTCACCGCCTCGCGTGGTGCCGCATCCTGCGGTCGGGCTCACGTTCCTCCTCCTGAAGCTCGCCCTCGCCGCGGCGGTCCCGAGCCCCGTCGAGTGTGCCGGGGGCCCCGCCGGGCTCGCCGAGCCCGAGATCATGCCGTGCTTCTGCCATGGCGCCCCTGCTGGCTTCGACGACGATGGTGTGGACTCGCGCTGGTCGAAGTGATGTTCATCTGGGAGGGCCTCTCCGCGTCGCTCTTCCCAGCGCTGGCCCGGCCCCATATTGTCCCCGCCCCCGCGCGCCGCCCCCCGGTATTCGTCGCTATTCATAAGGTTTCCGCCTGCCGTGCTTCGGTTCGGTCTCATTTGCTCACTTCGTGAGTGGCGGATCAGAGTACATTACAGATGGCATGATGTTTCTTTTTCGGTCTCCTCCTCCTCATCATCATCAGCAGCATCATCATCAGTATCATCATCATCATCATCATCAACATCATCATCAGCAGCAGCATCATCAGCATCATCATCATCATCATCATCATCATCATCATCATCATCATCATCATCATCATCATCATCATCATCATCATCATCATCATCATCCCCTCCTCCCCCTCCTCTTCCTCCTCCGCCTCCCCCATCCCAGGATGAGGAGGAGGAGGGAGAGGGAGAGGTGGAGGAGGAGGAGGAGGAGGAGGAGGAGAAGGAGGAGGAAGGGGCGGAGAAGGAGGGGGAGGGGGAGGGTGAGGAGGGGGAGGAAGGAGAATGACGGAGGAGGAAAGAGGAGGAGGCGGAGGAGGAGGAGGAGAGAGGAGAGGAGGAGGAGGAGGAGGAGGACGGAGGAGGAGGAGGAGAAGGAGGGAGGAGGAGGAGGATGCAGGAGACGGACGAAGGACGGGGTGGAGGAGCAGCAGCCGCCGGAGCGCCCCCGCCGCCGCCGAGGCGCCCCCCGCGATGGCCACGCTCTGGCCGCGCCGGGAGGCCGCTTTCGCCGCGCTCGCCCGCGGCGGTGCGGTGGCGGGCTGGGACCAGGCGGGGCCACGCCTTTGGCCCTCCGCCGCCCCTCCGGCGCCCCGCCGGCGGCCCCTCCGGCGGCCCTCCGCCGCCGAGGAGGAGGAGGAGGAGGAGGAGGAGGAGGAGCAGGAGGAGCAGGAGGAGGAGGAGGAGGAGGAGGAGGAGGGGGAGGGGGAGGAGGGGAGGAGGAGGAGGAGGAGGAGGAGGAGGAGGAGGAGGAGGAGGAGGAGGAGGAGGAGGAGGAGGAGGAGGAGGAGGAGGAGGAGGAGGAGGAGGAGGAGGAGGAGGAGGGGAGGAGGGGGAGGGGGACGAGGAGGAGGAGGAGGAGGAGGAGCAGCAGGAGGAAGAGGAGGGGGGAGAGTGTCCGACTCTGTCGGAGGAGCTCGTGGCCGGAGTCGGGGGGTGCGCCTCGGCTCGCCCGTTCGCGGGGTCTACAGCTCTGGGCCTCCCAGGCGGGGTCGGGGTGGGCAGGGTCGGAGGATCGCGCCGCGTCGCCGGTGCATCGGCGATGCGGCGCGACGTGAAGCCCGATCTTCTCCACGCCGACACCGCCGATGCATGGCAAACGTCGCCGATGCATCGGCGATGCGGCCGGATCCTCCGACCCCATCTAGTCGGATCCCATCCAGGAGGCCTCTAACAGTGGCACTTGCGTTTGGGCGGTGTACAGTGGCGCGCCCGCTCCGAGGGTGTACAGTGGGCCCATCCGGCCAAGGGTGCACACTGGTATTTGGGCTCGAGCGTGAGATCCCTGCAGTACACTGCTTTCGTCCCCCTCGTCTTCCGCCAAACCCTGGAAGGAGACCCCGGCCCGTCAACGCCTCGCCGTGCGCCGAATGCGGGAGGGGGCAAGGAGGGCACAGGGGCGGGAAGGAGGACGGGGAAGGGAAATGTTGACGAGATTTGGAGGGACGGGGAGGGAAGGGGAGGAGGGGGAGAGGATCAAGAAACGAGGGCGATGGGGAGGGGAGCGTTCGAACCCTTTTCACTGAATCGTGCAGGCGTGGCGTCGCGCCGCATCCCCTGAGCAGTGCAAGTTTCGCTTGCGCCGCCAAGTGTCGAGGCATGGGTACGCAGCGTGTTGCCTTTTCATTGCGCTTTCGCTCGGAGGCCTTCCCTCAAACTGCCTTATCTGTCTCATCTCGCCTTCCTCCTCCGTCGTGCGTCGTCCATTTTCTCTCCTTCCTCCTCCGTCCTCGTCCTCCTCCTTCACCGTATCGTCGGACTTCTGCTCCTCCTCCTCCGCCTCCTCCTCCTCCGCCTCCTCCTCCCTCCTCCCCCTCATCCTCCCTCCTCCTCCGTCATCATCCTCCTCCTTCACCGCATCGTCGGCCTCCCTGCCTCACCCTGCTGCATCTGGTCACTGCGCTTGCTGTCGGGGCTTCGACGGCCGCCATGACCGACGCCAGCGGCCTTCGGGGAGACGGCCGTCTTAGGGACGAGAGTGAAGGGCGGGGAATGAGGGGAAAGGGGGGGCTGAGGAGGAGGAGGAGGAGGAAGAGGCGGAGGAGGAGGAGGAGGAGGAGGGAGGAGGGGGAGGAGGGAGGAGGAGGAGGGAGGAGGGGGAGGCTGGAGGAGGAGGAGGAGGAGGAGGAGGAGGAGGAGGCGGAGAGGAGGAGGGTGAGGAGTAGGAGGAGGAGGAGGAGGAGGAGGAGGAGGAGGAGGAGGAGGAGGAGTGAGCAGGAGGAGTCTCAAGGGGGGACGGGGGGAAACGGGCTCAGCCGAAGAGGTATCACGGCCTTTGGTCCTGAAGAACGACAGCCAGATCCACTGCCGCCGTCGCCATGTCTAGCTGGACGCAGTCGCGAGTGAAGCGTGCCGTTGGGTGGCGAAGTTCCTCCTCGTGGGCATGACGTTGCTGATGGTGTTTTGGCGATGTGGTCGCTGTAGTTCTGGATGTCATCCTTCTTCGCGTTCTGCTTCCCACTGTCAGGCTGTTGCGGTGTCTTGCCCGTGTCCTTGCTGGGCGTCTCCTTGCCTTTCGGGGTCCAGTTGTCGGGCTCGATGTCATCCTTCGCAGTCTGTCCTTCACCGCTGTGGTTGCTGCCGTATCGGCTGTAGCCGTCGCCCCAGTTCTTGTCGGGGTGCCACTTGGCCCACCGGTCCGTCCAGTTGTGGTTATTCCAGCGTGCGAGGCCCGCTCGATGTGCTGGTGTGGTGGATCTCGGCATAGCTGGCCTGCTTCGCGGGCGGCTCGACGTTGACCTCCACGGTGGCGCTGCCGTTCCCGATCCGTTCGCGGTTGCACTCCATGACGTCGCCACGGTTGGAGTTTGACGTGGATGTCGCGGTGGCTGCTGGGCGCTGTGGTGCGCTCGGTGTGGGTCCCGTGCGTTGCGAAGCCGAAGTAGGACACGGGCGGCAGCACGATGTCGGCGGGGTCGCTTAATAATGCCAGGCGGGTCTGCGGGATCGTGTGGTGAATGTCATGGTAAGTAGCCGACGTAGATGCCAGCCTGGCCCCTCGCAGGGGTGCGAGAAGGATGTCCAGGTAGATGTTCTGGATATCGCGGGCCTGATGGGCATGTCAGGGCCGCGCTGGCCGCCGCCTCAGTACCCCTGCGGGGCAAATGGGGGCGGGATCGGGCGATCGCGGCTCTCCCTCCTCCTCCTCCTCCTCCTCCTCCTCCTCCTCCTCCTCCCCTCTCCTCCTCCTCCCTCTCCTCCTCCTCTCCTCCTCCTCAGCATCAGCATCATCATCATCATCATCATCATCATCATCATCATCATCATCCCTCCTCCTCCTCCTCCTCCTCCTCCTCCTCCTCCTCCTCCTCCTCCTCCTCCTGGTCCTCCTGGTCCGTCCGCCGCGGTCGCCGCCAGGTGTCCGTGCAGCACACGTTCCTCGCGGCGCGGAGGGGGGGAGGGGGGAACCGACGGGAGCTCGGCTGCCCTGGCACGCTCGCCTGGAAGCGCAGCGCGTACCGCGGTCAGGGCGTCTGTGTCAGCACCCCGCGTGCTGGCTCGGCCCGTGTTGGCCCACGCTTTGGCGAGCGTCTCGCGCCAGGCCTGCGAGTTCAGTCTGCGGGCTGAGCTCCGCGTGCAGGCGCTGCGGGCTGCGTGCTCGCGTCGGGGAACCCGGCAGGAGGCGTCGGTTGGGAGCCGAGCTGATAGGGCACTGCGTGCGGCCGGGAGCTCTGGGATTGCGCGTCGCGCCGCGGGTGCTGGCCTCCACGCTGCGGCGCGACAGGCTATCCGCTTCCCAGGCCCCAGGCGTCAACGGTCCGAGATGGTCGTGGCTCCCCCGCCTGCAGAGCGGAGCGACACGCTATCTGCTTGCAAGGCACGGCGTGTCGCCAGGGCCGCCGCCGCGACACGCTGAGCAAAAGCTCGTGACCGTAAGGAGGAGGCGGTCAAGAAAGACCATGCCAGGCAGTGAGACAAAGAGTGTGATCTAGATGTATCATCGTGCCGCCCTCTCTCCCTCTCCCTCTCTCTCTCACTCCCTCCCTCCCTCCATCCATCCATCCCCGAAACACGCAATGCATCAGTACATCGGTCAACCAGCCTCTCTCCATCTATTGCATTTCGGCATGTGTCGCATCTCTCTATTTCTGTTTCGCTGTCTTGCTCGATCTCGCTCCCTCCCATCCATATCACCGAAGCTAAAGGGGGAGTTAACCCAGCCTCGGAGAGGGATGGACCATAAGCACTAGACCAGTGAAGAGCCCCGAGGCCGCACCTATCGAATTCTCGGCTGCAGCACGCTCACTGCGCGCAGAAGATCAAGACGAGAGAGCGAGGATGAGGAGGAAGAGAAGAAGGAGGAAGAGGAGGAGGAGGAGGAGGAGGAGGAGAGGGAAGAGGAGGAGAGGAGGAGGAGGAGGAGGACAGGAGGAGGAGGAGCAGGAGGAGGAGGAGGAGGAGGAGCAGGAGCAGGAGCAGGAGCAGGAGCAGGAGGACAGGAGCAGGAGCAGGAGGAGGAGGAGGAGCAGGAGCAGGAGCAGGATGAGGAGGAGGAGGAGGAGGAGGAGGAGGAGGGGGAGGGAGCAGGAGGATGAGGAGGAGGAGGAGGAGGAGAAGAGAAGAGAAGAGAAGAGAAGAGAAGAGAAGAGAAGAGAAGAGAAGAGAAGAGAAGAGAAGAGAAGGAGAAAGACAGGAGAAAGAGGAGGAGGAGGAGGAGGAGGAGGAGGAGGAGGAGGGGAGGCCCTGCAGCGGGCACCTTCGAGGCCCACATCTTCTCTCTGCTGCCTCCTGGGGGGAAAGGAGGCAGCCGGGCAAGATCAGAGGATCAGGCCACGGACCAGCGTCCCGAGGCCGCGTCTCACTCACAGTCAAGCCGCTGGATCGAGAAAGAGCGCGTTCTGCCGCTGCTGGCAAAAAACGGGGGGGGTCACTGGGGGTTTCCGACCCGTCCCCCCCCCCGTCGAAAACCAGGAGGGGTCACTACCGGTTCCGACCCCCCGCCCCCCACCCCCGGTCCATCATGAACCCGGGTCCATGAAAACGGGGGGGTTTTACCGGTTCGAACCCCCCCCCCTCGCCGCCGGCGGCAAACGACTCCCCCTCCTCCCCCACTCACCCGAAAGGGGCTTCGTTCCTGATGCAAGGCTCCTTATGGCAGAACCTCGACTGTGCCCTCGCGATGTCTCGCCGAGTGAGCCGCTCGCGTCGCCACATGGCAGCCGGTGGGGCCGAGGTGCACCGGTCGGTCACCAGCGGGGCACCCCCGCCGCCGCCATCGCGGGCGGCTTCGGCGCCGCCTCCGCCGAGCAGGGTGAACCGCGAGGAGAGGTCGCTGCTGGTGCTCACCTTCAGGCTCGGGGGGGGGGGGAGTCGGTGTTCGAGAAGCCAGGCTTTCTCCTGACGTTTCCCGACAGTTGCTGGCTTAGGGAGCCCCTGGGGGCCTCCAGGGACCTTTGGAGACCTCCCGAGCCTTCTGAAGGACCCACACTCGCGAGTGGCGAGGACAAGCGAAGAGCTCAGGATTGAGCGTGAGCCGTGGGCGGGGACGACGCCATGAATGACCGCGCCAGATCAAACAATTGGCGGGCTGGTTATTCGCGAAACTTGAAGCCTGGATGAGTCTCCTGGCAAGTACGAAGCCTGAGGCTGACTGGTAGGATGCGCTCCTGGGCTGCTGTCTCCTGCGGGACGCGTTTTGGATCGGACGCCCTGTTCTGGTCTGTGGGTGCGGTGGGTGGTCGCCTCCAGGTTCTCCAAGCCGCAAAGAAGTCGGCGCTGCCGGACGCTGGAACATGATACAGTGGAGACCCATGCCAAGAAACACCCTGCTTGCCTACAGGATGCACTGGGTTTCTTGGGTTTCGATCGATGGTTCTACTATGGAAAACGTGACGTTCCCACGCTAACAACCGATGGACGTCCTGGGGTCTCAGGGTTGGGTTCCTGTGGAACGTTTCTCGTGGTCGAGCCCCTACTGTATGTCGGACCCACGCACGTGTCCCAGGGGGTCGTCCGAACGCCCAGCCGAGTGCGATCCCGTGGACTCTCTGTGTCGTGGCCGGCTTGGCTTCCAGAGCCTGCGACATGCCCCAGCGTCGGAAACGAGAGGACACGCGTGCCCCTGAGATCCGACGCAGCGAAAAGCCTGCAGCATCGTAACAACTCACGCCTGGGGCCCTGGACCCCATCTTCCCGCGCCACTTTTCGAGCCGGAGCGATCTGCCAGGGTCCCCGGGCTAAAAAAAGAGGCGAACACGCCCGGCTCGAGAAAGGTGCAGTGCCAGGACCTCAGGGGCGTGAGCTCTTGCTCTGCGTGTCGCTCCGCCCGCTCTGGCCGCCTACCACGCTTCGGCGCGAAGCGCCAACTAAACCGCAGCCTCGCGCGTGCGAGCGTCGGCGCCCCGAGCTCCTCCCAGCCTTTTCGCTCTCCGCGAAGCGGGGCGACGCGCGATCGGCTCTGAGGGCACAGCTCGGAGAGAGGAAAAAGCACAGACATAATTAATCATACACCCCTCGAAACCCGAAGGGAAACGACCTATATCCCCATCTAGGGGGGAAAATCGGCCAGTGGGGCCCAGGCCACGCCGCTGGGGATGGGGATCGGATAAGCGATACTCAATCGTCGACTCTCAGGAAAATCGGGGAAAGTATGTGAAGTGGGGGAAGACGAAAACCCAGAAAATAGATAGTAGGAAAATAGGGGGAGACCTGTGATGTGTGTCTATGCTTTGTATGTCCTTGAGCCCCATTGACATGTCACTGGAGCCGCTGACGCGGCATGCCCAGGAAAACAAATCTTTACCGTGGGGCGCGGGCGCGGCGCGACAGTCTGCGCAGAGATGCTCACGACCGCACGGTGCCAGTGCGTGGCCCATGAGGAGCCACTGGTCCAGCAGGCGGGGCTGCCTTCGGGTCAAAGTCGGGCATGTCCCTCTACAGGAGGAGCACTCAAGGATAGTTAAAAATGGTCGGGTGACGATTGTTCGTGCTCTTTTGACTGTGTTTGCTTTTTGTTGGATTGTTTTTCATTTTTCCCGGAAAGGGCGCCGGCCCAGGGTTCTCTTTTAGTAGGTTTCCCCCCGGTTTTGACGGGAAGAGGGTCGGCGGATTTCTTTTGCGATAAAAAACGAGTGGGAAGAGGGCCGGCGAATTAAAATTTCAGGATGTCCTTAGCGAAACGCTTGTTTTTTCATAATGTGTTGAGGATGTCTCGAGCGAAACGCTTGTTTTGTGTTATAGTTTGTCCTCTCCTGGGGACCTGAATTCAGATGATCTCTCAAGTGAAATGCTTGTTTTCACGTGCCCAGGTCTTGAGGATGTCTCGAGCGAGACGCTTGGTTTCACGCCTCCAGGTTGCCCAGACAGATGTCTAGCATGAGGATTTGTTGAGGATGTCTCGAACCAGAGGCTTGTTTTCACGTGTCCAGGTCGCCCAGGCGGATGTCTAGCATGAGGATGTGTCGAGAAAGTCTCGATCGAGACGCTTGTTTGCACGTGTCCAGGTTGCCCAGGAGGATGTCTAGCATGAGGATGTGCTGAGAACGTCTTGAGCGAAACGCGTGTTTTCACGTGTCCAGGTCGCCCAGGCACAGCACAGCTCTCGGCACGGTACATCAATATCGATACCCCTGACATTGCAGTCTGGCGTGTTGCCTGGCACGTTCCGCGGAGCGTCCCGTGGCGAGTCCCTCTGGCACGTCGCGCGGTGCACGTCCATTGGCACGTTCCGTAGCGCGTCCCCTCGGCACGTTCCGCGGTGCGTCCCCGTGGCACGTCCCCTGGCACGTCGCCTGGCGCGTCCCTTGGGACGTTCCGCGGCGACGTTCCGCGGCGCGTCCTCCTGGCATGTCCCCCTGTTCATTAGCTGAGGGGCAGCTACTATGTGCTGAGGCAGCTCGAGCTTAAGATCCAGATCAGTTCGGTCAGGACTCGGGTGCAAAGGAGGACTCGATCCACAACGCTATAGAGCACAATCGCGGCATGGCACATCGCAGTTCAGCACAGCGCAGCACAGCACAGGCCTCGGCACGGTACATCAAGATCGATACACTTAGCATTGCAACCTGGCACGTTCCGTGGCGCGTCCTGTGGCGAGTCCCCCTGGCACGTTGCGCGGCGCGTCTCTTGGCACGTCCATTGTCACGTCCATTGGCACTTTCCGTAGCGCGTCCCCTCGGCACGTTCCGCGGTGCGTCTTCGTGGCACGTCCCTTGGCACGTCGCCTGGCGCGTCCCTTGGGACGTTCCGCGGCGCGTCCTCCTGGCATGTTCCCCTGTCCAGTAGCTCTGAGGTAGCTACTATGTGCTGAGGCAGCTCGAGCTTAAGATCCAGATCAGTTCGGTCAGGACTCGGGTGCAAAGGAGGACTCGATCCACAACGCTATAGAGCACAATCGCGGCATGGCACATCGCAGTTCAGCACAGCGCAGCACAGCACAGGCCTCGGCACGGTACATCAAGATCGATACACTCAGCATTGCAACCTGGCACGTTCCGTGGCGCGTCCTGTGGCGAGTCCCCCTGGCACGTCGCGCGGCGCGTCTCCTGGCACGTCCATTGGCACGTTTCCGTAGCGCGTCCCCTCGGCACGTCCCGCGGTCGTCTCGTGGCACGTCCCTTGGCACGTCGCCTGGCGCGTCCCTTGGGACGTTCCGCGGCGCGTCCTCCTGGCATGTCCCCCTGTCCATTAGCTCTGGGGCAGCTACTATGTGCTGAGGCAGCTCGAGCTTAAGATCCAGATCAGTTCGGTCAGGACTCGGGTGCAAAGGAGGACTCGATCCACAACGCTATAGAGCACATTCGCGGCATGGCACATCGCAGTTCAGCATCAGCACGGCGCAGCACAGCACAGCCCTCGGCACGGTACATCAAAATCGATACATTCAGCATTGCATTTGCCCGTCGCCCAATCAGGTGTCTTTGAAACGTCGCCATGCCTTACATTTCTATATTCCTTTCCGGGTTCGTGGGTCGATCATGTCCTCGGAAAGGGCTCTGGCCCAGGGTTCTCTTTTAGAGGTTCACCCCGGGAATCGACGGGAAGAGGGCTGGCGGAATTATTTGCGGTCAATAGCGAGGTCGAAGAGGGCCGGCGGAATTATGCTTGAGGATGTCCCGAGCGGAACGCTTGTTTTTCAGAAATTGTTGAGGATGTCTCGAGGGAAACGACTGTTTTGTGTTATAGCTTGTTCCTCTCCTGGGGACCAGAATTCACCGGATGTCTCAGGTGAAATGCATTTTTTCACGTGCCCAGATCTTGAGGATGTCTCGAGCGAGACGCTTCCAGGATGTCTCGAGCGAAACGCTTGTTTTGCAGAACTCGAGCGGCCTGGGCGCCCCAGGATGCCCAGGTGGCTCTGGGAGCCCGAGCACAGCGTAATTAACTAAGACAGGTGGCCCTCGCACAATCGCGCGGCGCGTCCCCTGGCACGTCCCATGGAACGTCCACTGGTACGTTCCGTAGCGCGTCCCCTTGGCACGTCCCGCCGTGCGGCCCCATGGCACGTCCCCTGGCACGTCCCTTGGCGCGTCCCTTGGGATGTTCCGCGGCGCGTCCTCCTGGCATGCCCCCCTGTCCATGAGCTCTGGGGCAGCATCTATGTGCTGAGGCAGCTCGAGCTTAAGATCCAGATCAGTTCGGTCAGGACTCGGATGCAAAGGAGGACTCGATCCACAACGCTATACAGCACAATCGCGGCATGGCACATCGCAATTCAGCACGGCACAGCACAGCACAGCCCTCGGCACGGTACATCAAGATCGATACACTCAGCATTGCAACCTGGCACGTTCCCTGGCACGTTCCGTGGCGCGTCCCGTGGCGAGTCCCCCTGGCACAGTCGCGCGGCGCGTCCCCTGGCACGTCCCGTGGCATGTCCATTGGCACGTTCCGTAGCGCGTCCCCTTGGCACGTCCCGCCGTGCGTCCCCATGGCACGTCCCCTGGCACGTCCCCTGGCGCGTCCCCTGGAACGTTCCGCGGCGCGTCCTCCTGGCATGTCTCCCTGTCCATGAGTTATGGGGCAGCTAATTTCCATGTGCTCTGGCAGCTCGAGCTTAAGGTCATGATCAGTTCGGTCAGGACTCGGATGAGGAGGACTCGATCCACAACGCTATAGAGCACATTCGCGGCATGGCACATCGCAATTCAGCACGGCGCAGCACAGCAAACCCCTCGGCACGGTACATCAAGATCGATACATTCGGCATTGCAACTTGGCACGTTCCGTGTCGCGGCCCGTGGCGAGTCCCCCTGGCACAGTCGCGCGGCGCGTCCCTTGGCACGTCCCGTGGCACGTCCGCTGGCACGAGCGTTCCGTAGCGCGTCCCCTTGGCACGTCCCGCCGTGCGTCCCCATGGCACGTCCCCTGGCACGTCCCTTGGCGCGTCCCTTGGGACGTTCCGCGGCGCGTCCTCCTGGCATGTCCCCCTGTCCATGAGCTCTGGGGCAGCTAACTTCCATGTGCTCTGGCAGCTCCAGCTCAAGGTCCTGATCAGTTCGGTCAGGACTCGGATGCAAAGGAGGACTCGATCCACAACGCTATACAGCGCAATCGCGGCATGGCACATCGCAAGTCAGCACGGCGCAGTACAGCACAGCCCTCGACACGGTACATCAAGATCGATCCATTCAGCATTGTAATTTGGCACGTTCCGTGGCGCGTCCTGTGGCGAGTCCCTTGGCACGTCGCGCGGCGCGTCCCTTGGCACGTCTCATGGCACGTCCATTGGCACGTTCCGTAGCGCGTCCCCTTGGCACGTCCCGCCGTGCGTCCCCATGGCACGTCCCCTGGCACGTCCCCTGGCGCGTCCCCTGGAACGTTCCGCGGCGCGTCCTCCTGGCATGTCCCCCTCACATTGAGCTCTGGGGCAGCTACTATGTGCTCAGGTAGCCCGAGCTTAAGGTCCAGATCAGTTCGGTCAGGACTCGGATGCAAAGGAGGACTCGATCCACAACGCTGTACAGCACAACCGCGGCATGGTACATCGCAATTCAGCACGGCGCAGCACAGCACAGTCCTCTTGCCCGTCGCTCAAGCAGGTGTCTTTGAAAACGCTGCCATGCCTTGCATTTCTACATTCCACATCTGTATATTCCTTTCCGGGTTCGTGCGTCGATCATGTTCTTCAAAAGCCCGCCTGCAGGAGGACATGCCCGATCCAACCTTAGGGGCGGGGCCCCGCGCAATCACCATCGCGGTGGGGAATGTGTGCTTGGCGTGTCGCACCACCAGTTCTGGCCCGCCGCGTTTTCGGCGCGACATGCTCACCGCGTCTTGGGCCTCGAGGGCCCACGCCGCGAGCTCTTCCGGGCCTCCCGCCCCGCGGGGCGGAGCGCAGCACGTTGTATCACTTGGCAGGGCGTGGCGTGTCGCAGGGGCCCCTGCGCGACACGCTGAGCAAATGTTCCTGACCGTAGGCCCAACACACACGCATGGACAGCTAAGCGCGAGGCGCCCAATGCAACTACCACGAACCCAAGACACAAGGGCCAGTCGAGGGTAACACCCAGTGGGGGAAGACCATACAACTAGAACGAAGCCCCAGACACAGGGGCAACTAAGGTGGGTACCCCACGCAACCACCACGAGAGTCAAAATCCTCAAGGATGCGTCTTGGGGTCTCTTCGGACGGCTCTCGGGGGCCTCTGGGGAGGAATATTTGGGCCTATTGAGAGTCTATTGGGGGCCTCTTGGGAGCCTCTTATTGTATTGTGCCCAGACTCCCGACGCCATGATTTTTTCAGAACGTCGATCCCCAGAGGTCTCGACCCATTCCCCTGGACCGGTTTTACATTCCAAGTCGTCTTCTGACGGTCCAGGGGCCCGGCAAGGGCCCCCAGAGGCCGAGACCGGCCAGAAAGCCTTCCGTCGTGTTGTTCGTCCTGGCTCGAGGGGGCTCCGGGTGCGCCCTCCTGCTGCGGCGTGGCTGCCTTCCAGCCCTCTTTGGGCACGCCCTGCAGGCCGACCCCGGCGACGCTGCCCGACCGCGCCAGGGCGAGCGCGCCTTCGGCCGGCCCGCCCCCGCGGCCCGCCGCGGCCGCGGCGGGGCCGAGGCTGCTGGCGGAGTGCCTGGAGGCGGGGGGGCCGGAGTCGGAGGCCCAGAGGTTGGCTCGGGCGTCGCGTCGAGATCTCCAGGCCTCCCAGACTCCACCTCCTCCCCCTCCTCCTCCTCCACCTCCTCCTCCTCTTCCTCCTCCTCCTCCTCCTCCTCCTCCTCCTCCTCCTCCTCCTCCTCCTCTCTCCTCCCTCTCTCCCTCTCTCCCTCTCTCCCTCCTCTCGCGGCGGTCTCTAGTCGAAGAAGATAAAACGCCATAAACATAAACTGTTGGCGCTCCGCGCGGGTTTCTTGGATCCGCGCTGGGCCCCCCGGACGGCGCCTCTGGCGCCACGCGCTCCAGGGAGGCGGATCCGGCGCAGATCCAAGAAATACGCGCGGAGCGCCAAAAGTTCATGTTTGTGCCGTTTATTCTTCTTCTACCAGAGGTTGGCTCGGGCGTCACGTCCTGGTCTCTACGCCTCCCAGATGGGGTCGGAGGGTCGCGCCGCGTCGCCGATGCATTTGCGATGCGGCTTGATGTGGAGCCCGGTTTTCTCTACGCCGACGGCGCGATGCATCTCTGAGGTTGCCAGGTTGCCGTTGCATCGCCGATGCGGCGCGATGCTCCGACCCCATCTACTCCGACTAGGAGGCCTCCATGGTCGGACCCAGACCCCCTCGAGTCATGAAAAAATCACGACGGGAGGGTCTTCGCTATTTTCAGCCTTTGGGGGCCTTTCCCGGGCCTCGGCACCGTCAAAGAAGGATGTCAGGATGAAAAATTGGACCCAGGGAATGGGTCGTGACCTCTGGGGGTCGACGTTATGAAAAAAGTCACGGCGTCGGGGGTCTGGGGACGGGGCTGGGCCGAGGATAAATCCGATCCAGAGCGTTACAGGACGCTCTCAGAGCTTTCTGCAGCGCTCTGAGAAGGCCGCGGCGCCCGAGACATTTTCCAGAGCCGCCGGATCTCAGAGATTCTCGATTTATCCCCACCCGAATGTACCCTCGTCCTGGCTTCATCTTACAGATGTTGCCTCGGGCGTCACGTCACGGGGGGAGTGACGAAAGGTGTACCTTTTGTGCCCTGAAGGGGTCCCTGGGGCCAACGGCCACGAAAGGCGCACGGTTCTCCCCCCCCCCCACCCTCCACCCCTCTCGTCCCCCCATTAATGCACGCCCGATTGGCACCAACACCAGTATCGGCGGTTGCCTCCAGCGAGGGAAGATGGTCCTCATCTCGGTGGTGGTGGTGGTATCGGGGCTTCTCTGCGTGGTCGAGAGACTCCAGGATCCTTTTCCCCTGGTGGAGGCACCCCCTTGTGTTGGTGTTGGTGCCCACTTCCAGGCCCTTAGCGGGGGGCGGGGGGTCTTCCGGGTTTTCTAGCGTTTTCGTTGGTTCCCGGCGGCGCTCCAGCCTGGGAACGCATTCCAGCAGCTGCGCCTCGTCGAGGGGGCTCTGGCGGTGCCTGGATCGTCCCGAGCGGTCGCGGGAGAGCAGAGTTGTGACCCGAAAAACACAAGGGCAACATCAGGGGGGATGGGCTCAACGTTAGGGGGGATGGGCTCAGTGGGGGACGCATCCACCTCCAATCGCCCATTCCTCGGCGCGACAGTGGTCCGATAGCCCACCCCGCCCAGGACCGTGAGGTTGTGCTATCAAGGGCCTAATGAAACGGTGTATCGCCGATCGATCGGCGATGTATCGCCGATTCCGAGTCGATGCTTCCCTGAATTGGTCCCGCCCTGACGTTTCCCCCCTGGGATGGGATCGGCGTCAGCACAACATGCGTCGTGGCAGGCGCTTTCTGGCCGCACCTCTCGGGGAACGATGTACTACAAGATGGGTATACTATGTGTTCGGGTCGGACGCGCGCCTCAAAGGAGGACATAGAGTACTAGTCTGTCTCTGAGCGTCCCAGAGGGGGCTGCTTCGGGATCTCGAGGCTTCGGGAGCCTCGGGGGCCTCGGGGGCTTCGAGGCTCTGGGGCCTCGGGGCCTCGAGGCCCAGTGGGTCGACGGCTCGGGGCCACCAGGCCTCGAAGCTTCGAGGATGGAGGCTTCTGGGATCGAGGCTGCGAGAAACGAGGCTTGAGGATCGAGATCTCGAGGATCGGCGGCGACGGCAGAGGCTCGGTCGAGATCCACCGTCTCCCAGAGATCCTATCACCTCTGGCCGCTTCAGGATTTTTCTCGCGCCGACGCGTGCCGTGGGAGGACGGCGCGTGTCGAGCCAGCGCGGCGAAGACCCCAGCGAAGGGCGTTCGAGGTGAAACGCCGCCAGTGGCCAGGAAGCGGCCTGCATCGGAAGATCCACGCCATCAGGAAGCCGCGAGCGTTCCAGTCTGAGCGGCGCGCGCGGTGTCGGCAACCAGCGCCCACGTCCTTCGCCCCACGAGCCCGTCGTCCATCGTGAGGCGCGCGCCGTGCGCGAGCGCTGTGGCCACGGAGGGGACGGAGGCACGGTGGGGGGGTGGGAGCAGAGCGGCGTCCCCCATGCCGCCGCCGCCGCCGCCCGTCGCCCGTCCGCCGCCGTCCGCCGTCGCCCGTCGCCCGTCGCCGTCCGCCCGTCGCCCGTCGCCCGCCGCCGCCGCCCGCGCCGCAGTCGTCGCCGCCGCCGCCTCCGCCCACCGTCGTGGCCGTGCTGCCGCGAGGAGGGCGCGCCCGGGCCCGGCGGCGGCGGGGAGCTGACTCCCTCCACCCTCGCGCCCGACGGCGGCTCGGAGGCCGCCTCGTCGCCGGGCGGGAGGAGGGCGAGGAGGAGGGCGAGAAGGAGGGCTGCGACGACGACAGGTGCCGGCGGGGAGCGAGCAAGGAAGTCGGTCGAGGGAGCACGGGGACACTGAGGCGTCAAGTGCGGCAGAGCCGGGATGGGATCGCACACCAGGATCCCCAAGGCAGGAGATGATATCAAAAGCAGGTTTGGCTGCACGTCCTGGTCCGCCCCCCCAGTCGTCCAGGAGGAGCGAGGGCACGGATCCAGCGGCCCGCACTTCTGGCGACGCTTGTTGTCAACGACACTGACCCCTGCAGATGTGGACCCCCTTCCCCTGGCCAGGTGTTCCGTCCCGAGCCGTTTTCTGACGGGCCCAGAGCCCGGTCGTTGTCCACACAGGCCCTGCGGTGTACACAGCGCTGTGGTGTACGCAGGGCGCTGTGGTGCTCGGCAGTGTGGCACGCACAGGTATTATGGGCCGAAAAAAACCGGGGGGCCGTACTTTTGGCCAGAAAAGCCAATCACAATAGACAACGCTCAGATTGAATATGATACGTTCGAGATCACTGCGATTTTGCGGACCTTGGCCCCGTCGGGGTTCTGGAGGTGTACAGACGTATTGTCGTGTATTCAGGCACTGTGATGTATAGGCGCTGTGATACAAGCACATGGTGCTGAAGCATTAATTGTGGTGCACACGGGCGACGGAGTGTGCACAGGCACTGTGGTGTACACGGTCGTTGTATTGCACATTGCTGCTGTGATGTGCACAGGCCCTGTGTGTACACAGTCTTTTTGTGTACACTGGTAGTTTGGTGTGCATCGGCGTTATAATGTACATATGCGACGTGGTGCAAGCACCCACTGCGGTGCACATAGGCCTGTGGTGTGCACAGGCGTTGTTGTACACACAGGCCTTGTGGTGTACACAGGTGTTGTTGGGCACGCTGCCACTGTGGTGTAAACAGGCATTCTGGTGTACAGAGGCATTGCAGTGTACGCAAGCAGCGTGGTGTACACATGTACTGTTGTATACACCAGCCCACTGGTGCGCGCAAGCATTGTAGTGTTCACAGGCGCTGTGGCGCTCGCGTGCATTGTGGTTTACACATGCCCTGTGGCGGGCAAATTGTGGCGCGCGCAGGCGCTGCGTCCGCTGCTCGTGGCTACTTTCGGCAAGCCTTACGCTGCGCCTAGCAAGCCCCGACCTACGTGCTAACCCTTACGCTGCCCCTCGCTATTCCCAGGCATTCCAACACGGAGCCGGCGAGAAACGCGACGTAACCCGGGAGAGGGGGGCGGGGCCGGTAACGGCCGTTACCGCGGATCGTTCCAATCCGTTCCCTTGTGGAGGGGGCAACATTGCGCGTGGGAGGCGAGCAGGTTCTGGACACGGGAAGAACGCCGCGTCTTTGGTGTGGTCTCTATGAGTCTATGGCTCAAGGGGCGCCCCCGGTAAAGCTTGGGGGTGCGCGCAGACAGCCCCCCTGCCCGACTTGGTCCCGGGAGCAATCCGGGGCGGTCTCAGCACCTCAACCCTGGGGCGAGGCGGCGCCCATGGGTGCTGAGACCGTCCCCGCCTAGACCTCCGACGTCGTGATTCATTGACGCTTTGGATCCTTGGAGGTAATTTTAAGTCGGGCCTGTCTTTCTACAGGGGGAATATTCAAAAATAGTTTAAAAATAGTCGCGGGAACCATTTTTTGATAATTTTTTGACCATTTTGGGAGCATGTTTGGGGTGCTTTTATTTCTAATCGAAAATCCCCCTGTAGGGGGACACGCCCGACTTAAGCCTAGACCTCCGACGTCGTGATTCATCGACGTTTTGGGTCCTTGCAGGTAATTCTGGACCTCGCCCCAGGAACAGATGTTACACCTTGAGTCGTTTTTCACGGCCAGAAGTACCCCCCAATAAATCAAGTCCTGCTGGGTGCTGGTTCACGATGCGAGAGGTGTCTGGGAGACTTCTTGAGAGCCTCTTGAGGCCAGCAAGGTCTATCTCCGCGGGGCTGTCTGCGCGACTCTCCAGGTCCTACGACGGTGCACCCTTCGACACGCACTCTGTCGCAGAAGATCTCTGCATGGTCATACATCCATCCCAGGCAGCATTGTGCCGTGAAGCACCCCAGGCGCAACGTCGCCGTTTTCTTATTCATTGTGTTGCCGATCGGCCGCGGGCCCTCGCACCCCCCCCATGGAGTAGCTCTTGGTCGTTTTTGGCGCCCGTTTCGAGCAGGTGGAGCCTCCCCCAGAGGAGGACGCACTGCTGCGAACAGTCGCAGCAAGCAGAGGTCTGGAGCCAGACCGCCCCCCCCCCCTCCCCCCCCCCCTCCGCCCAATCCCAAACATCCGGCCTTTCAATCTTTTCGAGAGACGGGCCCCGGACCCCTCGACCAGTTCCCCGGGACCGGTTTCCATCCCGAGTCGTTGTTTGACGGCCCCGAGGCCCGGTATAAGGGCGGCCGAAAACGCTGAAGAACCTCCGCCCCGCTTTTTTCTCGAGACGCCCGACGCCTGGGCGGGGCGAAACCCCGCCGCCGCTGGAAGACCTCCCCGTGGCGCCGTGGGGCACCCCGGGGCGCAGCACCCGCCCCCGCCCCCGGGCGCGCGCGCAGCCCCCCGCGCCGTGCCCCCGCGCTCCCCCGCGCCAGGCCGCGCCCTTCGAGGGCCCGGGCTCCGTGCGCAGCGCGGCCTCCAGCAGCGCGCCCCTGCAGTGGCCGCGGACGCCCGGGACCCTGCGGGGGCCGCTTCCCCGTCGTGGGCGGCGGAGGCCCAGACGTCGGGCGCCTCGAAAGCATCGGGGCGGAGGTGTTTTCCCTCGGCTTCGGCCTCCTGGGGGGGGGGGGCCCTCCCCGGGCCTCGGGGCCGTCAGGAAAAACGACCCGGGAGGAGAAGCCGGTCCCGGGGAAGTGGGCGAGCAAGCCGGGGCCCGTGTCTCAAGAAGAAATCGAGGCGCCGGATATTTGGGGAGGGGGGTGATGACTAGGGGAAGGGGGGGATCGTGGCGGGGACCATAACATCTCCCCAGATTCCGTGACGCCTCTCCATATTTTTCACCACGTCTTCGGCACCCCCTTGCGCCGCGCACGTGCCGCCAGCCACGACCTGCGCCCCCCCCTCTGGGACTGCCCCCCTCCTGGACGCCCCCGAATCCCTGCCTCTGTGCCTCGGGCGCGGTCGAGGGCCGGCTGCTGCCGCGGAGGCGCTGGGAAGACGCCGAGAGCTTCGGCACGGCGTCGCGCCCTCCTCGGCGGGGACGGGGCGGCGCCGTCGCGGACGCCCCGCCCAGACCCCCCTTTCGGGTACAACTCATGGGAGGTCCACTTCTGACTTTGCTGTAAGTTGGGCATGTCCCTCTACAGGAGGACTATTCAAGAATGGTTTTAAGAAATAGTCTTGGGACGATGATTCGACTATTGTGTGACTATGTTTGAATATGTTTGACTATACTTGGTACTGTGTCTCCAAAACCCGCCTATAGGAGGACATGCCCGACCGAAACTTTGCCCTGGTCCGAAGTCCAGCTTCATCCCGCTTCATCCGGCTTGATCTCGCTTCATCCGGCTGAATCCCCCCTAATCCGCAGCCTAATCCGGCGTAGCAGCCCCCCAATTCAGGAGCGAAAGAAAGACGTACACGTACATGAATCCACGTTGGTTCCGAGAGTACGCATTGCGCGAACGTGCGTATTACGCGGCCGGTCTTGCAGATTGGGTGCAAGTGTTCATGTGTGTGGGTGGATGCGCACGTCCTTCGTAGGCCTCCTGCCAATGGGGCTCAGTTCTCCCCAGTCCTTCCGACGAAGACCTCCCAGTGGTTGCCTCCTGACCCCTCGCGGCGGCAAGTGTTTGGGGATCTTGCCGGGTTCCTGGACAAAGCGCCTTTGCAAGCACGTCGATTTCGGCACCGCCTGATCCCGAGGTTTTGCCTCCTCTCGGCCTCGCCCTGAGGCTGCGCTCTCCCCCCTTCCTCCCCCTCTTTGTTAATTCAAGCTTCGCGCGGCCCGCTTAGCTTCGACCGGAAGAGGTGCGCTCTCGACCCGCGAATCAAAAAAGTGTTTGGGGATCTTCGGCCTCGGCGGGGTGTTCCCAGGAAAGCCACCGCCGCCGCCACCGTCGTGTGCCATCCCACCACCCGCCGCGATCGCCACCGCCACCCACCTGCGACCCGCCCGCGACCCAACCCGCGCCCGCCCCCTCACTCCAACTGCGGGGTGCTACAGACTCTTCGTCGCCGTCACCAGCACCGTCGCATCCTCCTCGACACCATCGCCCCCGCCGAGGCGGCACTTCCCCCCGTTTCGGCCGCGAGCCTTCTTTGGGCCTTCTCCCCCCCTCTTCCCCCCCGAGGAGGGGCGCCCGCCCCTCCGCGGCTCGCTGCGGGGGGGGGGCCCTGACCCATCCTCGTCGACACCGCCCCCGCGTGCCTTGTGCTCGCCTCCTCCTCTCCCCCCCCCCGAGGACAGACTGTCCATGGTCATCACCATCCTCGCCACGTCATCCTCAACATCGTCGCCACCGTCATCACCACCGCCACCACCGTGTGCCCTGTTCACCCCACCCACCCACCCGCCTCTCCTCCCCCCCGAGGACGAGCGGGGGCGCGGGCCCGGCGGGCCCTGCGCCGCTCCTGGACTTGCCGTCCGAGGGGTCCGCGGGCCATGCCCAGGACGGCCGCGGAGCAGGATGAGGAGGAGGAGGCGGAGGAGGAGGAGGAGGCGGTGAGGGAGGAGGAGGAGGAGGAGGAGTCACCACCTCTCCGTTACGACTCGATGAGTTATCCAAGTACCCTGTCTGTCGACCTTAACCATAAGTATCTCCTAGTTTGGTCTACTTCCCCAGGGCTGGCCCGATGGCCAGCCCTGGGAGAAAGCGGCAGCGTGCGGAGCACTCTCACGCCATCATGAAGCAGGAAACAGGAGGAGGGAGGAGTCAGGGGACAGTCGTCTCGCCAGAGGGCTCCCTTCCAGAGGCACGAAGTGAGCTTTGGTCGCGCCCCAGCTTGCAACGCAGGGGGCAAAAGGAAGAGGAGGAGGAGGAGGAGGAGGAGGAGGAGGAGCCAGGGGACGGTCGTCTCGCCAGAAGGCTCCCTCCAGGAGTGAAGTGAGTTTCGGTCGCGCCTCAGCTTGCAGCGCAGGGGGCAAAAAGAAGAAAGAAGAGGAAGAGGAGAGGAGGAGGAGGAGGAGGAGGAGGAGCCAAAGGACGGTAGTCTCGCCAGAGGGCTCCCTTCAGGAGGCATGAAGTGAGTTTCGGTCGACCCTCAGCTTGCAGCGCAGGGGGCAAAACGGAAGAGTAGAAGAGGAGGAGGAGGAGGAGGAGGAGAAGGAGGAGGAGGAGGAGCCAAGGGACGGTCGTCTCGCCAGAGGGCTCCCTTCAGGAGGCATGAAGTGAGTTTCGGTCGCGCCTCAGCTTGCAGCGCAGGGGGCAAAAAGGAAGAGTAGAAGGGGGGGAGGAGGACGAGGAGGAGGAGGAGGAGGAGGAGGAGGAGGAGGAGGAGGAGGAAGGGAGGAGGAGGAGGAGGAGGAGGAGGAGGAGGAGGCGCGAGACACGGAGGCGGGCGTTCGGCCGGCCGCTTCCGACGCACGGGGGTGCTTGGCCCCACCTGAGGAGGAGGACGAGGAGGAGGAGGAGGAGGAGGAGGAGGAGGAGGAGTTGAAGGGAAGAGGACTCAGGCCTCCTCGGGAGGACGGGACCTCGGATCAAAATGTTGTGTGGTTTCCCCAGCCCCCCCGGTTCTCTGGGCCATTGTAGTCTTCATTATCATCTTGCCACCTCCCGTATCCTTGCCTCGTGTTTCCTACCTTCTCGCACGCCGCCAGTTTACTTCGTTCTTGGGAGGTCCAGCAGAGCAACGCACATCCAGACGAGATCTCGTGGTCCTGGGGCGATTGACATCTGCGCAACCGTCGTCACATTCGTGGGCTCCTGGGAGGCCCATGGGGGGGGGTAATGCACACCCAGACAAGACCTCGCGGCTCCGTAGGGGGCTGCTGCCCCTGCGCCTCCCGCCATCTGCGTGATCCCATGGAAGGCCAGCAGAGCGACGCCACATTCAGACCCTGACGAGAACTCGCGGCTCCCTCGGTTGGCTGTCAGCAGCGCAACTGTCGCCCAGTTCGTTGGCTCCTGGTAAACCCAGCGGGGCGACGCCACACATGGACCCAGACGAGACCCCACGCTCAGGGCAAGGTTTTGATTGGATTTGCGGAAGACACCACCCCGCGCGGCCTCCCAGACTCCCAGGAGGCCACGGAAGTGGCGGCAACTTGGCAGTTGGCAGCACCCAGGTAGGGCGAGATCAGATGTGCATAGAGTACCGCTCGGCTGGGTCTCACAGGAACCTACGAAAGTGACCACGGTTGCGCAGTCCCCAGCACGCAGCACCTTGAGATGGAAAGGTCTCGTTTGGATTGGCGTGCCCGCGAACGTGGCGACAGTTGCGAAGTTGGCAGCACCCAGGGAGCCGTGAGGTCTAGCGTGGATCTGCGTAACACGCCACTCCGCTGGGCCTCCGTGCAGCCCACGAAGAGGCGACAATCGTGCAGTTGACAGCGCCCAGGGGGAGCGAGGTCTTGTTTGGGTCCGCGTAAAGCGCCATTCCGTTGGACCTCCCAGGGAGCCGGCGAAAGTGGCGACCGTTGCGCAGTTGGCAGCACCCAGGGGTCCGTGAGGGGGGCTGGTTCTGCGTAAGACACTACTCCGCTGGTCCGAAAGTTGCCCCATTTGCGCACTTGGCGAGAGCGAGAGCGAGATTTGGTTTGGATGTGTGTAACTTACGCAGATCTAAACGACGCCACTCCGCTGGACCTCCAAGGGTCCCATGAAGGTGGCGACACTTGCGTAATTCGCAGCGCTCAAGGAGGGCGAATTCTTGAGAGCATCTTCGCCAGACACCACTCCGCTCGGCCTCTCATGAGGCCACGAAAGTCGCCACAGTCGCGCAGCTGGCAGCCCCCAGGTGGGGTGAGGTCTCGTGTGGGTCTGCGTGTGGCACCACTCCGCCTGGCCCACAGTGGCAACAGTTGCTGTGCACAGGGCAACGCCAAGGGAGGGCTGGGTCTGCGTAACAGGCTACTTCGCTGAGCCTCCCGGGTGCCCACCAAGGTGATCACAGTTGCACGGATTGCAGCATTCAGGACGGCAGGGAGGAGCCAGGCAGGAGGCAGGAGGAGGGAGGAGACCGGAGGAGGGAAGGGACGAGAGGAGCGGGAGGAGCGGGAGGAGGAGGAGAAAAGGAAGAGGAGGAGGAAGGAGCAGCACCAGTGCTCCGTCCAAGACGAAGACCAAACCCAAAGAGGGCAAGAAAGAAAAGACGAGGTGCTTCTCGGCGTGCAGGCCTCTGGGTGCCGCTTTGGAGAGCCCCACGGCCACCAGAGAACTGCTCGGGACGGAAAGCAGCCGTCCTCGGGGAGAGGTCGGGACTTCTGGGGGGCCCCGGATGCGAAACAGCACGGCGTCGGAGGATTGGGATGGAGTCTATGCGCCCTTCCGGACCTCCTTGAGGGTCCCTCGTGACCACGGCTGGGCGCATCTCGGAGAGCGGGCACTGCCCCTCGGCCTCGGGCGGCGTCGTCGTCGCCGCGGATGGACGCAGCTCGGAGGCATGGCGAGGACGCACCCTCGAGGAGGGCTGCTCGGCGAAGGGAAGACAGCTGGCAGCTCGGGGGAGCACTGCGCCTCTCAGGAGCCCCCCCCTGGATCCTGAGGAGCCTCCTTACGGTCAGGAATTTCGGCTTAGCGTGTCGCACTGCCGGTTCTAGCCCACCACCCGTCGGCGCGACGCACTATCCACGTCCAGGTCCCCAGGCGTCAACGTCACCAGCCTTTCGAGGCCTCCCGCCCCGCGGAGCGGAGAAACGCGCCATCCGCTTGCTAGGCATAGCGTGTCGCCGGGGCCGCCGCCGCAACACGCTAAGCAAAAATCCCGGATTGTATTATTCGCCTCGGAAAGCTTCGGGCTTTGGGCTTCGCAATCTGTCCACGCTCGGCGTTCTCGCCCAGTTTGGGGCTTCTGGGCCCTCGCGGACGGACCCGACCCAGACAAAGTTGGTCCAGGGTTCTGGCTGCGATTTCTCACGATGTTTGCAATTGATTCGCGACGTCGAACTTCAGGGAAGGCGCAGGGCGACCAGACCTTCAACGTCTTAGAACGAAAATGGGTTGTTGCCGTTCTCGGTTTCCAGGGGGCCACTTCCGAAACCCGGGACCGTCCACAAAAGTTTATTCGCGACAGAAAGCATGTCCTCGGGGAGAGCACATTTGAGGAGCATGGAGACACCAGAGGAGAGTCGTGTTCGTGCTTCGGGAGGCTTCCCGCGGCGTCCAGAGTCCAGAGACCTCCTGGGTACCCCCGGGACCGTTCGCTCGGGGGTGTCCGCGGCTGCAGCGTCGTGCAGCGCTGAGCGGCAGGGCATCCGGCGTCATACAAGGTCGGGTCGGGGGATGTGGGGCTCTGACTGCAGGGCGGACGCAGTGAGCACACGCACGTCGCTGACCGGCGCCTCAGGCGTCGGCGTGCAAATTTGGAGGAGTTGCGCATTCGAAGATTCGGCATTGAGGGCCTCTCCGACAAACCCTTGATAGTCCGGCTGACAGCGAACCCGGACGAAGAAGACGAGACTAGACCTGCTCATGGAATGCAGGGCGGACGCAGTGAGCACACGGGGGGCGGGGGCCGAGCGAGCCTTCCCGAGGGAGCTGCACCATCGCTCGCGCCGTGCCCTGCCGCCTGCAGGCGCAGGGCCCGGCGCGCGGGCGGCCCCAGCGCCGAGCCCCTCGCGCGACAGGAGCGCCCAGCGCCGCTCGCCCTGGCTGCCCGCGGGCTCGGCCGCGGTCTCTGGCGGCCCCGCGGCTCGGCTCGAGGTTTCTTTCAGCGGTCGAGGCGGGTGCAGCCGACGACTGGGGCATGTCGGGGCCGGGGCCTCGGCGGAGTTCGTCGCGGTCACGTCGTCTTCTCCGCCTGCTGCCTCCCCGTCCCTGTCCCCTCTGCCCGAGTCCCCCCCCCCCCGCGCCCGCTTCCTGGCGCGCAGGGCAACTGCAAGCCCTGCCTGTTCGCCCACCACGCAACCAAGGCCCCTCGGCGCGCCGTCCGCAGCCTCCTCTTCCTGGCTGTCTGTTCGACCGCAGAGCCGTGTTTTCTCGGCCGATCGTCCACCTGGGGAGGGCTCGACTCGAGGCGCCGAGGACAAATTGCGGCACCGAGGAACCCCGCATGTTTAGAATATGTCCGGCGTGATGATAGCTGACGAGAAGCTTGCGAGAGGATGCAACGCATAGCGGGAGCATACAACGCATAGCGCCCCCACCCCTAGCGCACCCCCTGTGGCGTCGAGGAAATGCCACGCCTGCCACGCCCTGCAAGCCTGCAACGCATAGCACCCCCACACACAGGGCACCCCCTATGGCGTCGAGGTTGCCACGCCTGTCACGCCCTGCGAGCCTGCAACGCATAGCGCCCCCCCACACACCCCGTGCGCACCCCCTCTGGTGTCGAGAAAATGCCACGCCTGCTACGCTAACAGACCCTGGTACGCATGGAGACCGCACTGTGTGTATGTGCATGTGCATGTGCATGTGCATGTGCATGTGCATGTGCATGTGTATGTGTATGTGTATGTGTATGTGTATGTGTCTATGTGTCTATGTGTCTGTGTCTGTGTCTGTGTCTTCTGTGTCTTCTGTGTCTTCTGTGTGTGTGGTGTGTGTGTGTGGGTGTGCGTGGGTGTGTGCGTGGGTGTGTGTGTGTGTGTGCGTGTGTGTGTGTGTGTGTGTGTCTGTGTCTGTGTCTGTGTCTGTGTCTGTGTCTGTGTCTGTGTCTGTGTCTGTGTCTGTTGCTGTGTCTGTGTCTGTGTCTGTGCCTGTGCCTGTGTCTGTGCCTGTGTCTGTGCCTTTGTCTGTGCCTGTGTCTGTGCCTGTGTCTGTGTCTGTGTCTGTGTCTGTGTCTGTGTCTGTGTCTGTGTCTGTGTCTGTGTCTGTGTCTGTGTCTGTGTCTGTGTCTGTGTCTGTGTCTGTGTCTGTGTCTGTGTCTGTGTCTGTGTCTGTGTCTGTGTCTGTGTCTGTGTCTGTGTCTGTGTCTGTGTCTGTGCCTGTGTCTGTGTCTGTGCCTGTGCCTGTGCCTGTGCCTGTGCCTGTGCCTGTGCCTGTGTCTGTGTCTGTGTCTGTGCCTGTGCCTGTGCCTGTGCCTGTGCCTGTGCCTGTGCCTGTGTCTGTGTCTGTGTCTGTGTCTGTGTCTGTGTCTGTGTCTGTGTCTGTGTCTGTGTCTGTGCCTGTGTGTCTGTGTCTGTGCCTGTGTCTGTGTCTGTGTCTGTGTCTGTCGGTGTGTGTGGTGTGTGGGGTGTGCAGACGCGCGTTTCGTGTACGAGCCGTGCATGTGTTGCGCGCGGGTGAGGAGAGAAATGGGAAAAGAGGAGGGGAAGAGCGAGGTGTGTGTGTGTGGGAGGAGGAGACGCGGGTGCGACGCGGCAGGGAAGAAAACCAGAACCCCATTAAGAATGTGGGAAAAAGTGGCACGCTGATGCACTTTATGACGTACGAATGGAATGCGAATAGTGTAGATCCATTGCCAAGCAAACATGTGCTGGACATACGTCAACTGATCAAACCAGCTCGCAAAAGCAACAGCGCCTGGCGCCTGCAGCTTCGAATGATAATGCAGCGGCCTCAACTGTTGGCGAAACGCTTCAGTTCCCTAAAAAGCCAAAGCCCATCACATCGAACGGACGAACAAGCGATCGACGAGAACGAACGAAACATCTAGCAAACAAAACACAATGATAGGGTGTCTGGATATGGTTGCATATTCTAGGCATACACGCGCGCACGCAGCAACAAACTGCATATACAAATGTATACGCGTGTACGTTCTCTCTCTCTCTCTCTCTCTCTCTCTCTCTCCCCCCCCCTCTAGAGAGAGAGAGGGAGAGATACATATAGATAAGAAGAGAGAGAGAGAGAGAGAGAGAAAACAAAAAAGAGAAACAACAAAAACAAAACGAGATATATATATATATATAGAGGCACACACATACACAAGTGTTCATCTGGGGCGCCGTTGGGATGTAATCGACGGCTCAAGCAGTCCTTTTTAAGGTTGGACACGCGTTCAGCAAGTTGACCATCTTGTGCGGGAGCGAGGGCAAAATGTTGACGCTTCGCGTATCCCCACCAGGCGCCTGAGGCCCCGCCGCCTTTAGGTAATTCGTCTTTGCGCGGCCCGCTCTGACTCGACTCGCCGTTTGAGCGTTCGCTTGCGGCTGCTGACTAAAAGTATCCCCACCAGGCCATCCAAAAACGATGCCCAAGAGAGTCGGAATAACCAGGGAAGTGTAGGAGCAAGGTCGGGGAGAGCCGTTATCTGTCGAATGAGGAGAAGGATGGAGGAGCAAATGGAGGAGGAGGACGAGATGGAAGGACAAGGAATAGACAGATGAGAAGCAGGAGGAGGTGGAGGAGGGTGAGCAGAATGCCAGAGGCCTCTTGGATGCCATGGGGCTTCCTTGGAGGCCTCTTGGGCCGTCTTGGATGCCTCTTGGCGGTCTCGGGGGCCCCTTCGGCCGTCTTGGGGACAATCAGGCACCTCTCTGGGGTCTTCTTGAGGCCTCTTGGGGCCGGGTAGGCACCTCTTGAGGTCCTCTTGGGGGCTTCTTGGGGCTCTCTTGGGAGCTCCGGAGGCCCTCTTCAGGCCATCTTGTAGGACATCGATTACACAAGGGGGGGCCCTTCATTACAGGCGCCCCTCTAGGAGCTTGGGGCCCTCCTGAAGCGCTCTTGAAACGCTCTTGGGCGCTCTTGGGGCCGTCGTGGGGCCCTCTTGGACCTCTCTTGGTGCCCTCTTGGGCCATCTTGAAGCCATCTTGAAGCTTCGGAAGGCAATCGGAAGCGAAAAGTCGGGAAGGCAAAACACCTTGTCCATAGGTGTTGAAAGGATGTTGTCCTCTTGAAGGCTCTGTTGGGGGTGTTCGGAGGCCACTTCGACCTGTCCTTGGTGGTCTTGGAGCATTTCGGAAGCTATCTGGAAAAATAGTAAGCCATCTTTATCCGTCTTGGAAGTCATCTTAGGCTCTCTGAAGGCCCTCGTGGAGCCATCATGGGCTACCTTGCATGCTCCAATGGGTCGCGGGGCGCCCCGTCCAGGTCCAGGAGCAGGGTAGGGGGAGGTGTAAACCCCTCCCCGAAGAGGAAGAATGGAAGACAGAGAAAACGCCCTAAATCACTCACGCCCAGAGGGCTGGTAGGACTTGCAAGTCTTAGTCAGACAGGCATAGCCGACCGCTGGGCATAGCCGACCGCTTGGCAGCGAAGACCAGGCGCGTGCAGAAACAAGATGCGCAAGAGCAAAGCGAGAGACAAACGCCAAACCAGGGAGCGGGGAGGCGGAGGACGGCGAGTGAGCTGGCCGGCAATCCGAGAATGCGCCGTGGCCAGCCGGGAACCCCGCCAGTCGGACAGGGAGCAACTATAGGCTTAGCGCGCAGTGCGCATTAAAAGGGCAGTGAGCGGCGACAAAATGCCAGCGACGCCTGCATACGCATAGTAAAGGTAAGTCAGACACAGGCCAGTGGTAAGTGAGGACGGAGGTGGCTGGACACTCCGACGGCACCGAGCCAACTCTGAGCGTGTGACTGCTGTGGCTGACCCGAGGAAGCCTAGGGCGCCAACAGGCTTGGGCCGCCGACAGTGGGGTCCCAGCACGGCGCCGAAGCACCCGCGCACAAAATGCGAACCCGTGGCGTGGTGGTGCGCGCACAGGGTCGGCGGACCGCGTGCAGGTGGCGTGGCATGCGGACGGGAAGGGCGAGCGGCAACGACGCGGGCATGGCACGGAGTGGTACGCGTACAGGGGAGGCCAGTCCACAAGAAACTTTGCACAAGAAACCCAGCCCTGAGACACCAGGACGCACATGGATGTTTTGGTGTGGGAACGCCACGCTTCCCAGGGCAAAAAGAATGAAGCCAAAGAAACCCAGGGCACCCTGGAGGCAAGCAGGGTGTTTCTTGACATGGGTTTCCACTGTAGCCGACACGCACGATGCGTGGAGTTGGTAGGCATGAGAAGCATGGCTTCTCGCCAGGGCCTGGCAGCACAGGCGCGAGGTGTGCGGAGCGGTGTGCCGTGGCACGCACAGTGAGCGTGAGCAACGCAGTGGTGGCCCTTCTGCCGCAAATTACGCGAAGCCAGAAGGTCGATGAGAGCCAGGTGCGGGAACCCCGAAACCACAGCACGCCCGAATGCACGCGCTGGCACAGAGATCAGCACAGCGAGGTACAGAGGTGTGTTGTAGCCTTCGTTCGCCGCCGCGCTCGTGCAAGCCGCGCAGCAGCACTGCAGCGCGGTAAATTACGACTGGCGCTGTCCGCTTCTTGCGTCGCCTCTCGGGAGCCTCTTGAAGGCTTCTCGGGGGCCGTCGTGAGGAGGGGGAGGAGGAGGAGGAGGAGGAGGCGGAGGAGGAGGAGGAGGGAGGAGGGAGGAGGAGGAGGAGGAGGAGGAGGAGGAGGAGGAGGAGGAGCCTCTTGTGGCGTCCTCTCGCGGGGGCCGTCGTGAGGAGGGGCTTGGGGCCCTGGGTCCGTCGTGGTGGCTCCATAGGACCTCCTGGGGAAGTCTGGGAGCTCTCCCGGGCCATGCGCTGGTCGCAGGGAGGCGCTCTTGGGGCAGTCTCGGGCCGTCCTGGGAGGATGTTGGACTCTCTTGTGGCCGAGGGCCCTCCCGGAGGTTGTCAGGTTCGCATCGCTGGTTTGGGTGCGCATGCCTGTGCACACGCAGGCGCGGCAGGGATGCATACTCCGCAGCTGGTGCAAACATGATGTGACCAGGTCCCGCGACGAAGGGGACACGCCCTCGTCCTCTGCCGGCGGCGAGCGAGGGAGAGAAGTGAGAAGGAGGCGGCCTTCTCAGAAGGCGGTGGGGCTTCTCAGAAGCCCTCCCGCTTTCTGAGAAGGCGTCTCTGTCTTCGGGGAAGGCTCGGCAAGCTTCCCAGAAGGCCAGAGGCCTTCCCGGCCCCTGCGGAGAAGAGCCGCACCCCCTCATTTCCCCCCCTTGGGCGCGTCGCCGACAATGGCCTGCTTGTGGAAATACTGCCGCTGCTGGAGGCACCTGTTACAGTCGGGGCCCTGAGGAAGGAACGCTTTTCGTTGGGGAGGGGCTCCGTGTTCCTTAAGTGTTTCACAGCTTGCCTCAGGTTTTCCTTATGTTTTCGATGGGAAACCGAAGGTTAACTTATGGAAAAGAGGGGCCTTGTTCCTCATTTAGGGTTCCTTAGGTCAACGCCCCGACTGTATGGGAAGCCCGCGGGCATGCTGGGCCGCCCGCCCAACCGCCGTCCGGCACCCGCTGTGCGGTCTGCCGCGGGGTTTTGGTTCGCCCCCGCCGGCAGCTTCTGGCACTGCCAGGCGGGGCCAGCACAGGGGAGAGACCTTTTCCACTCGGGGGCACAAGGACGGCGGGGGCTTAGTGGTCCCTGGAAACAGCAGGGCCGTTTTTTCACCGTTTCCAAAAAAAAAGTCCCTTGAAAATGGCAACGGCAAAAAAACGGCGACCGGAAACGGACAAAAAAAGGCTCCAGGATTGGAACCGCAGCCGGAACCGGTCAAAAAACGGCGACGCAACCGGTAAAAAAACGGCGTCGGCACCGGCAAAAAAACGGCAAAACGGAACCGGTAAAAAAACGGCCCTGTCGTTTCCAGGGCCCATCAAGGGCGGGGGACGGGCACCGGGGCGGATGCATCGACCCCCCATCGGCCACGCGTCGCCGATGGGGTCCCGAAAGCCCCGCCCCGCGCGGGGGCGTGCTTTTTGTGCATGATCGGTTGCCCCTCGCGGAGCTCTCGGCGACGTATCGGCGAGTTCGGGTCGATGTGTCCCCCATTACAGTCGGGGCCCTGAAGAAGGAACCCTTTTCGTTGGGAAGGGGCTCCGCGTTCCTTAAGTGTTTCACAGCTTGCCTCAGGCTTTCCTTATGCTTTCGACAGGAAATCGAAGGTTAACTTATGGAAAAGAGGGGCCTCGGTCCTTATTTAGGGTTCCTTAGGTCAACGCCCCGACTGTATGCCAGTCCCCCCCCCTATCGGCCCCATCGTTGCTCCTCGGACAAGCCGTTCCAGAGCGTTCCAAAACGCATCGTACAAGTATGCACTTGTCAAGCTTTGGCCACACATGAGAAGTTTACCCCGTTTGATGTGTTGACAAGCCGCGTGTCGTGGACAACAACAAATCTTTCGGGCAGTTGCTATGCGAGCCATTTGGGAGGACACGACTCCGAAAACTCAGAACACCGATGGCGCCGTGATCGTTTATTCCCAGCCTTGGTTCTCAATAGCCTGTCCCAATTGTTCCTCGCCTACGAGCTTTGGCGTTGCCCTATCCTTTGGGCTGCCAGCTGGAGCTCTCCACGTTGGTCTTGCCATGCCTCTTCGGTCTTCCTTTCGGCTTGATTTTCGAAGTCTTGCCTTTGCTTCTGTATGTGTAGCGTTTGCCCTTACAGTTGCCCTTTGAAGCCGCCTTTCCTTTGTCACCGCCAATATGTCCACTATATTTGTCCGCGCTGCTCCTGTTCCCACTGTTGGTCTTGCCATGTTCGATCTGATTTGCCACACGCCTTGGTGGGGCCCCATCGTTTTTGGAAGGTCTTCGTACACAGCTTCCGATGTAAGACCGCCTTGCAATCCTCAGTAGTAGCATGAGGCGCTCGCTGATGGTGTCGATGTAGCCAGCTATGGGTTGGGTTTAGCTTTGGCGTGGTTCTTATTTCTCATGTTGCCTGCTGCTCAGATCGGGTGCTTTCTTAGCTATTTCTGTTGCCAAATATATGTTCCTACATTATTCGCGTTTCTCAATGTCTTCTCGCCGCTGTTTTTTGGCAGCCGCCTGGTCGATTGACCGCCCATAGTTGCCGACAACTGTGGGTGCAATGTTGACATATGCCTTTCCACCAAGCTGTCCTCTGCAAGTCCCAAGTACGAAAGGATATTGATGATCCGTTTGCATTGCCGAGCAGTTGGTGATGAAAGACTCCCTCGACGCCCGTTCCTTGCAATCGACCTCCTGCTTGTCGATGGCACGGAGATCCAACTGCTTCTTGGCTGCGAGGAATGAAGCATACAGCTTGCGTTTGGCGTCTCGGCTGGACATGTTGCCGATATCGATAAGGATAATGTCCGTGGGGTCCTTGAGAAGCGTGTCCCAAACATGTGTTTCATATGACACGCTGAATAGTCAAACTCCTGCGGGAATACGGACTCCTTCAAGGTCGGCCTTCTGTTTTTCATACTTGACTTTGCGATCGCGTAGGCACTGAAGCGAACCGGTCGCTGCAAGCATTGGATGATGAGAATGATGATGTTGATGATGATTATGATGATGATGATGATGATGATGATGATGATGATGATGATGATGATGATGATGATGATGACGGTGATGCCTTCTTGGCTTGTGCCTTCATTTCTGCGTTGAAGGCGTTGTCGAGGTACTCGTCCAAATATTGTTGAATGTTCTCCCAGGTCGTTCTGGGGCGCTCTGGAACGGCCGCGGCGCCCGATACATCCTCCAGAACCGACGGATCTCGGATAATCTCGATTTGTATCCCAGTCCGACTCTGTCCTTGTCCAGGCTTCGCCTCCGCCTCCTCCGCCTCCTCCTCCTCCTCCTCCTCATCCTCCTCTTCCTGTTCGACGCTTTGGCGAAGCAAGCTGTCGACGTTTCGGCGAAGCAAGCTGGGTTGATCCACCCACAGCCCGACAGCACGGAAGCTGAGGATGTAGATTGCAAATTGGCCATTGCGAGAGTTGTGGGCATCCTGGCCGCGAAGCTCTTACCACTTTGGCTGCGGCTCGATCTAGGGTCGAACGTGCAGAGGGTCCCTGTTGCCGCTCATGTGAACAAAGAGCAGGGTCCGACGCACGCTTGGAGCTGGACGGGACGTTTTTGGCAGAGTTCTAGATGTTTTCGTGGATCACGTTCAGCCGACAAGCCGCCCGCGAGCTTGTGCCGTGGTGGCGCGGGTGTCGGGATCCGTGGCATGGATGTTCCTGCGTTCTCTGCTCTGGGGCGCAGCATGCTGTTTCCCGACGCCTCGGACGGCAGTTTTATTGTTGTGTGCCTTAAGTGCATGTTCTACACTGGAGGTGGGCAGGTTCGAGGCCACCGACCGCCCTGCCAGCCGATCCCGAAGGCTGGAGCTCAGGGTCGGAAGCACGCGTGGAGGCAGATCGCGGGAGACGGCATCCCAAGCGCGGAGACGTCACGGTCTCTGTTGGCCCGTGGGCCAATATGGAGGAGGTGATGGCCCCCGCTCCCTCTGTTGCGCCTCCCCCCCCCCCGGCCTTGGAGGAGGAGGGTGCTCACGAGAGGCGCTGGGCCGATTTGGCCCAACGCCTCCTCTCGGCTGCCACTTCGAGCCTGCCTGAGGATCTTGGGCGTCGCTGGCCAGAGCCAGCACGCACCATTCCGCACCGCGGTGACAGCGAGACGGATTTGGCATTTAGGAGCCTGCTCCACATTTGTCTGGTCGGTTGGTGGGGTCGGGGGTCGGGTCCTGTTCTGGGGTTGCCCCGAGTCTGTACCCGCCCCGCCCTTCCTTGTGGTGTCTGGCTGGACTTCCTTGTTCGTTTCTTATTGTGCGTTGCTGGCTTGTGCCAGCACGCTGGTTCCTTCGCCGCGGTGGCAGCGGCACGATTCAGACATTTAGGGGGCTGCCTAATATTTGTCTGGGCGTTTGGTGAAGTCGTGGGTCGGGTCCTGTGCCGGGGGTTGCCCCGAGACAGCACCCGCCCGTTCTAACCTAGAACGGACCCGCTCTTGGCTAGAACGGGACCGTTCTAGTCTAGAACGGGGTCGTTCTAGTCCAGAACGGCCCCCTTTCCTGCCCTGGTGGCGCCAGGCAGGGATTCACCTTTTGTTTTTGTCTCGCCCAGTCTGTGTGTGCGGGTATAAACTTCGAGCCTGCTTGTTAGAGGTCGGTGTGTGTGTGGGGTTTTTTGTTGTTTGTCTCGGGGTCTCGCCTTCCCCTGAGGTGACGCGCGGACTGCATGGTGCGCTGCGGCGACAAAATCCGTCTCCTTCTTATCCTCCTCCTTGTTTCTCCTCCTCGTCCTCCTCCTCCTCCCCGTTCTCCTCCTCCTCCTCCTCCTCCTCCTCCTCCTCCTCCTCCTCCTCCTCCTCCTCCTCCTCCCCTCCTCCTCCTCCTCCTCCTCCTCCTCCTCCTTCTCCTCCTCCTCCACCTCCTCCTCCTCCCCGTCCTCCTTCTCCTCCTCTTCCTCCTCCTCCTTCTCCTCCCCCTGTCTGTCTGCATGGCTGCCCCTTCGGGGAGTCCCGCAGGCCTGCGAGAACGGCGCGGCGTGCTCCTTCTGCCACTTCGCGCACCCGCCGAAGCGGAGAACCAAGGGCTCGCACAGGCCCCCGCGGAGCCACATCAGCGTGGCGGCCTGGGCCAGACAGACAGGTCAGGAAGGACTGGTCGTCGTTTTCCTTCTGGGAAGGAAACAATTTCCATACCTCTACCCTTCGCCTTTGTTTCCCCTCTTTGGGCCTCCTGGGAGGCCCTCGTCGCCACCGCTGGATTCGCTTCGAAGTTCTGGTCAGAACCAGGGAGTAGCGATATCGGTACCTTTGGGTCTCCCCGTTCTTCTTCAGGGTTTTGCCGATCGGCGCGGGCCCTCGCACCCCGCCCCCCCGACCCCCCCCGTGGAGTAAGCGGACTTTGGCTGCGTGGGGCGCCTGTGTTCGAGAAGGTGGCGTCTCCCCCCACAGGACGCTCTGTCGCAAGCAGTCGCGCGAAGCACGGGTCCAGAGCCAGAGCCCTCCCCCCCTTCCCCGGCGTGCACAATTGATTCCAACCGGTTGGGACGAATTCCAACCGATTGGTGCAGGTTCCAACGGGCTCGAAAAGACAAATGGGTAGTGCTTCCAATCGGCCAAACGACGTCAATGTGCGATGATAATTGTGAGGCGATGTTAGGGTACAGGCCTCGGATAAGTAGCGAGCCCGCATGCCACATTGATGGGTCAACGCCTCCCCCTCCCCCCCAATGTTGAAAGTTGGCGGTGGGACTGATGAGTCCCACTTCGACTGCAGTCTCCCCCGCGCGTGCCAACTTTGAGTTTGGGGGAGCGGGGGAGTGTCCACGAATTGTTTCCCCCTACCGTATCCCAAAACCAAATAATCTGCCGATGTCTGCACATGTGTTCCAGAAGCTAACATGATTACTGTAAGGACTCAAGGGTTTCAAGGCTTCAAGGCGTAAGGGTTTAAGGGGGCAAGGGCTCAACGGCTTCAGGGATTCAGCGTTTAAAGGTTTAGGAGATTAAGGGCTTCACGCCTTAAGGATTTAAGGGTTTATTTGTTTCGGGATTTCTTGGCTTAAGGGTTCAAGGGTTGAAAGGGTTGAGGGCTTAGGTGTTCAAGGATTTCATGCCTGACAGGGCTCGAGAGTTTTAGGGTTTCCGGGCGTCAGGGTGTAAGGATTAAATGGTTTAAAGGGTTAAGGTGTTTGAGGATTGAAGGCCTTAAAACGGTCAAAGGGTTAAGGGCTTAGTGGTTCGAGGGTTTACGGGTTTGAGGGCTGAATGGTTTGAAATAATAAGAATTCGGGGGCACACGGACTTATCATCACCAGCACCAGCAGCATCACCACCATCATCATCATTTGCATCATCAGCAGCATTCGCATCAGCATCAGCATCATCATCATCAGCATCATCATCAGCATCATCTTGTGGCCATCATCTTCATCAACATCACCATCATCATCGCTATCGTCATCTTCATCCTAAATCATCAGTCGTAGGCACGCCGTCCTCTAAGACGCCTGTACGACGCCTCTAAGACGCAGGGACGACACCTCGAAGACGACTCTAAGACGCCCGAACGACGCCTTTTAAGACGCCCGTGCGACGCCTTAAGACGCCCGTGCGACGCCTTTTAAGACGCCCGTACGACGCCTTTACGACGCCCGTGCGAGGCCTCGAAGACGCCCGTACGACGCCTCTCAGACGCCCGTGCGACGCCTCTGAGACGGCCGTACGACGCTTCTAAGACGCCCGTACCGCGCTCTAAGACGCCCGTACTACGCCCCTTAGACGCCCGCACGACGCCTCGAAGACGCCCGTACGATGCCTCTAAGACACCTGCGGGACTTCTCATAGAGGTTGGTTGGAGTGTTCTCTCGAGTGGTTGGAGTCAGTACCAACGGGATTGCAATGTGTATTAAGGTGTTTGGAATTGGGCATCATATTTCATGTGTCCCATTCCCCCCCCTTCCCGCCCACTGTCGAAACGCCGAACATCAAAATTGCTCGCCTGAGGAGGCGAGTTTCTGCTCCGCTCCAAGGGTTCGGGGAGCCGCGAGTCTCGCAGGACATCGGTGCCAGGGAGGCGGGCCCGCCGCCAACGCCTGGTCACGAAGAGGCTCCCAATACGCCGCCCCAGGAAAGAAAACGGGTGCCTCTGCACGAAGAGCAGCGCCTCCTCCAGCAGCGCCGACAGCAGCGCACGCCGAGCCCGAACGCCCCATGCACTCCTCGCGGAGGAGGAGGAGGATATGCTGGGTGAAAGAGGAGGAGGAGGAGGAGGAGGAGGAGGAGAAGGAGGAGGAGGAAGAGAAGTCCGCGCGGGGCCCCGAAGAGCTGTGCCCGTGCACCTGCCTGCTGCCCCTGCGCCGGCAGCCCCGTCGAGGCCCATGGGGTCCGCCTCCCGCGCGCGCCGCCGGGTGCCTTTTCTTGCGGGTCGGCCCGGCACCTCGAGGGCGGGGTGAGCGGCGGTCGGGGGCAGAAAAGAGGGGGGTGATGACTCGGGGGGGGGGGATATCATGGCGGGGGTCATGGTATGTCCCCAGATCTCCTGGCGCCTCTTCGTATGTCATGACGTCCCTGGCCCCCCCGCTGGGCCGCGCACATGCCGCCGGTCATGATTTGCACCCCCCCTCTTGGGCACCCCCCTCTTGGCCGCTCCCGAGGCGAGGAAAGTGCCCCATCCGATCAGGCGCAGGCCGACAGGGGCACTCACGGCAGAGCTGCAGTGGAAGCCCATGCCAGAAAAAAAACGCCCCGCCTGCCTCCAGGGTGCCCTGGGCTTCTTGGGTCTCGATGGTGTTGCTATGGAAGGCGTGACGCTCCCACACCAAAAATCAATGGACGTCATGGGGTCTCAGGGTCGGCTTCCTTGTGGGAGGCGCAATGCTTGGAGGGCATGGCTGCCGGTGTCTTGACGCTTCGCGAAGCCCCACAGGCCCGTCCAAAGGCAGACGCCAGACGAGTTGCCCTGACCAGGGACGCGTTAGCATCCCAGGAGGAGGAGGAGGAGGAGGAGGAGGAGGAGGAGGAGGAGGAGGGAGGAGGGAGGAGGGAGTAGGGAAGAGGAGGGGGCGGAGGGAGGAGGGGGAGGGAGGAGGGAGGGAGGAAGGGAGGAGGAGGAGGGCGCGGAGGAGGAGGAGGGAGCAGGGCGAGGGAGGCCAGACCGTGGAGCGGGCCCCCCTCTTCAGAGCGGGGCTGCCGCCGGACACGTCCCTGATCTGCTGACCCTGCCGTGTTGCGTTCGCTGCAGCTCGAAGGCTGGAGGGCAGCTGCGTCGAAACAGGAGCTCCTCCTCCTCCTCCTTCTCCTCCCCCTCCTCCTCCTCCTCCTCCTCCTCCTCCTCCTCCTCCTCCTCGCGAATCTCCTCACATCTGGTCTGCTGCGAGCGCCATTTTTTGCGCGGGCCCTCCTGGTGGCGGAAGTGGCAACGGGTTGCGACGCCCTTCGGGAGGCCGAAAATGAACCCAAGCGCCACCCAGCTGGGACCCGCTCTCCCTCTGTCGATGCGTTCGCGTCGACCGAGGTCGAGGTTGGCGGTCGGACGGACCTTCTTGGTTACGTCGTCTCCTCCTCCTCCTCCTCCTCCTCCCCTTCCTTCTCCTCCTCCTCCTCCTCCCCCTTGCGAGGGGGCGGCGTTTCGCCCCGCGAGAGTGAAGTCTTGCAGGGGGAGGTGAGGAGTCACGGGAGGAAAAGCTACCTATACCGCTACCCGTCTTCTCGTTTTCCCCTTTTGGGCCTCCTGGGCGGCCCTCGCCGCCGCCGCTGAATTCGCCGTGAAAGTCTGGTAAGAACGCATCCCGGGAGAGATCTGGGGAGTAGCGGTATCGGTACCTTTTGGTTTCCCCAAACAGGGGATTTGGGACGGTCTGGCGGATTGCAGCATCATTGGTATGTGTTGGGCTGGCTCTGGGCACTCCCGCGTGGGTTGTCGCGGAACGGGGAGGGGAGAGACGGTGGGACAGTGGAAGATGTATCGTAAGTAGTGGGATGTTTGTGTTTCGTTCTGTGTGCTGGTCTTACGTTTGCGTTTTGCGTGAACCATCAATGTTTGGTTCATGGTGCTTGTTCGTCGCTCATACGTTGAATTTCCACCGTGGTCCCAGACGATTCTCGCTGAAGACCTTCAACAACTCAACAACAAAATGTTCTGCCAGCCCTCCACTGATTGAGTCGGCACGTTCGCGCTCCATCCAGGGAATATCTGTGCACACTTTGTACGAAAGAACTCTTCATGCAACACCCACACATAAGGATTCTACTCGAAACGCACCCCTTGCAACTGTGTGTAACCTTCCCCCATGGAAGAGGAGATAGACATGTGGCGAGCGAAAGAGAGAAAGAGCGAGAGAGAGAGAGAGAGAAACAAAAGAGGGAGGACAAACAGAACAGCACTGCTTCACCACCCGCAGGGAAATACAGCCAGATTGGTGTTCTTCATGGCATGTGCATGCCCAGGCTCAATGCAATGCGGAGCCACCGACGGGGTTGCCACAGCTTCGGATCACAAGCCAGATTGAAAAAGCACCAAGTTGGGCATGAAGCAACAGAGGTTAGAGCAAAGCTGGAAAACTGCATTGAGAAACAAAGAAAAGCATTGCTTTCGTCCCAGTTGTTGCAACATCACTGACTTCCAGTGTGTTTAATGTGTTTCGTCTACGACCCTGAATTTCATCACTGGAAACCAACGGACACTTTTAAATTGTGATCGAACAACCATGTGCACAATATAGAAATCCATTGTGCGTTTGAAGGTGTCACGCTAAACTTTTGGATGACCCGTATGGTTTGACCCTTGCGTCGCGATCTGCATGGGAGATGTGTTCGATTAAAAGAACGCTGAAGGTGTCCTCAGCAAACCAGCCAGAAAGGGTGCGGACGGCTTCGCCAGCAATGACCCCCTCTGAGTTCTACTCATCGGAATGCGAACCTGTCATTCTATATAGTATAGGCGGATAGATCCACAGATAGAGGCACACCGTTGTACTAATACATGATGCTGGCGCAGCGTAGGTCGGGACTGACCTGGTGGGGCCGCAGGCGCACCAAGAGGGCCTTGGCCCAATGCGGACCCGACGACCCGAAAGTGGCCCCGAGGCGGCCCAAGACGACCCCAGAGGCCGCCACAACGACCCAAGTAGGCGCCTCAAGGACGCCCAAGAAACCAAATAATGCTACAAGCTAGGAAGCGAAAGCGACTGCAAGAGGTCCGCCTGGGAGACCACGAGAACTCAAGAAGGCCCCCCGATGGGCCCAAGGGGGCCCTGGGCAGCCCAGGACGGCCCAACAGAGATTCAAGGCGGCCCGCGCGCCCCCAGGTGTGCCCAAGACGGCCAAGAAGTCAGTAAGACGCCCCAGCAGTGTTTCTGCAGCGCCCCGAGACCCCCCCGAGAGCCCAGGATAACGCGAAGGAGGCGCACGACTGCAAACAAGCGCCCCAAGAAGACCCCCAAATTGCCCCGAGTCCCCAGAACACGGGTGGAATAGTACGGCGATGGTCCGATAATATGCGTTTGTACCTATATCTATACACATAACTATGAATAGAGATGTAGATTCAGACATACAAACACACACACACACACACACACGCATGTAGCGCGAGTATACGTATGTAAATATAGAAACAGACGTACGCGCACCATCTTTAGTATGTTTATAACTATACACACGTACAGTGTTTACACATGTACCGATCTGATCCGCACCTACATCTTATGAATATGCACATAGGAATTGTACGTACAGCCTGCATGCACACGCTTGCCTATGCCTGCGCACGTGTTTGCCTCCAGATCGGCGGCTGCGGGGCGAGAGCGCAGGAGAAGGGAGAGCCCCCCACCAGGAAAACCGGCTTCGATGTTCCGTGTAAGTTGCGTGGGCGCGCGAGAGAAAGGACCCCGCCGTCGCCGGGGCGCCTCGGATGCAGAGGACCGCTACTCCTCCGTCTCCTCATCCTCCCACTCCTCCTCCTCTTTCTCCTCCCCCTCCTCCTTCTGCTCCTCCTCCTCCTCCTCCTCCTCCTCCTCATCCCCCAGTGGGCGCGCGGTGGCCCAGGGTGTCCCGCCGTGGTGTCCCGTGGGTGTCCCGTCGGTGTTCCGTCGGCGGTGGGCGGGCGGTGACTGGGGTGTGTGCCACCTTGGTATCGATAGTGAGGTAGATAGTGAGACCGATCATGAGATCGTTGGAATGTGATGGATCGTGAAATCGAAAGTGAGATCGGCAGTGAGGTTGATTGTAAGATTGATTGTGAGATTGGTTGTGAGATCGATAGTGAGATCGATAGTGAGATCGACAGAGAAGTCGATAGAGGGATCGATAATGATATCGGTAGTGACGTCGAAAGCGAGATCTATATTGAGATCTATAGTGAGATGGATAGTTGGGTCAATCGAGTGAGATCGTTAGATGGAGCGGTAGAGTGAGATCGAAAGCGGGGACGATGGTGACATCACATCGCGGCGCAACATCATCATCATCATCATCATCATCATCATCATCATCATTATCAGCATCATCATCATCATCATCAGCAGCATGATCATCATCATCATCATCATCATCATCATCATCATCATCATCATCATCATAGTCATCATCACCATCATCATCATCATCAGCATCATCATCATCATCATCATCATCATCATCATCACGTGTCGTCGCTGATTCGAGGGTGCGTCACCCTTGTGGGCCCCGGAAACGGAAGGGCCGTTTTTCACCGTGTCCAAAACATGTCCCTTGAAAATGGAAACGGCAAAAAAACGGCGACCGGAAACGCCAGAAAAACTGCTCCAGGATTGGAATCGGAGCCGGAACCGGTCAAAAAACGGCGTCGGAACCGGTAAAAAACAGCGTCGGAACCGGCAAACAAAACGGCAAAACGGAACCGGTAGAAAAACGGCCCTGTCGTTTCCAGGGCCCACCAAGTGCGTCACCAGCATCGTCATCATCACACCCATCTCATTTGCCAGCAGCTGGTGCTTTCCCCCCCCCACCCCTCCCAACCTCCTCATCACCCGAAGGGTTGTCGTATAGTATAAGTACATGTGTCGGGCTGTGTCGGGCGCCGGCCGCCGCCAGGCCAGAGGCGTGTGCCGCCGCCAAGGCCGCGCGGGGCGGGAAGGCGGCCCGCTGGTCGGCCAGGGCGCCGCTCCTCAGGGCTGCTGGGCCGAACGTGTGGGCCTACGGCCTCACTTCGGGTCGGGGCAAGCACGAGGGGATGTTTGGGCGGTTTTCTGCTCTGGAGGTCCCTTAGGGGCCCCGGGGCCGTCAAAAAACCACTCAAGAGGAAAAGCCGGTCCTGGGGAAGAGGTTTAGGCTTCCAGTGGTCCATGAGAAAAGCACGGCGTCGGGGGTCTGTGGGGGGGAAGGAGGAGGAATGAGGAGAAGGAGGAGGAACATCCAACGTCTTGAATGACACAAGGCGGAGCTTTCTCGCCATGTCTGACCTCCTGGAGCAGCTTTCAGGCCCCAGGACCGTCCATAAACGATCCGTCGGGCGGGTCGAGCGGGCGGGCCATCGCGAGAGCAAGCGGACGGACCCCCACGACGGGCGGGGGCGAGCCGGCGAATCGGCACCCCGCCGACGCGTCACGCCGGGGAAGCGGGGCGCCGGCGAAGCGGCACGCCAGCGGAGCGGGCGAAGCGGTCCTGGAAGGGCGGCCCGGGCCGAAGCGGTCCTCGGCAGAGCGGTCCTCGGCGAGAAGCGGCCCGGACGGGGCGACGCCGTGGGCGAGGAGGTGCCGGGCGGTGGCGGGCAGAGCGGCGGCGGCGGGGCGGTGGCGGCGGAGCGGGCCGCGGGCGAAGCTGTCCAGAGCGAGGCGGGCCACGCGGAGCGGCCGGGGCGAAGCGCTCCGCAGGCGCAGCGGTCTGGGCGGATCGAGCTCGCGGGCGCGGCGCGGTGAGAGCCCGCCCCCGTGGGGGGGCAGGCAGGCGCGCGTGAGGCCAGCCACAGCTGGGGGAGCTGTGGTCCTTACCCCCCCCTGGGGGGCCCATCGATTTCGACACCCCTCTCGAGAGATCGTCGATGCGATGGGTTCCCCTAGGGGGGTAAGGACCACAGCTCCCCCAGTTATGGCTGGTCGGCGCGGGAGCGGGAGGGGGGACCTTGGGAACCGCAGAGACAGCCAACCAGGCTGCAGTTGGCAGTCTGCCGCGTCTCGGCGTGTCAGGGGGCGCGGAGGCGCAGGAGTCAAAGGTACGTGTAAGTGCGAGGACGGCTGCTCTTAAAACAGCAAGGTGAGAGGTGTGAGGGGAAACGCACGTGGGCGACAAGACATGTTGCATATGTGCTCCACGTTCTTGTCTGCGGATCCTTGGACAATCCAGTTTACCTGAACGTTCCGCCCGTCGTGTTCGTCAGGATACATGTGGCGTGTTTACTGCCTGGCTCGGGACGAGCAGACGTCGTTGCGCGCGTCTTCTCTCTGTCTCCTTCTTGTGGATGGGGGCGGATGACGTGGCCTGGCTCGGAGGGGGAGGTTGGCGGCGAAAGCGGGGGGGAGTGAGAAGGAGAAGGCCTTCGCAGAAGGCGGCGGGGCGTCTCAGAAGCCCTCGCGCCTTCTGAGACGTTTTCCGTGTCTTCTGGGGAGCTTTAAAAAAAAATCCCAGAAGGCCGGGGGTTTCCGAGCCTTCTGGGAAGGCCCGCCCCTTGTCGCTTCCCCCCCACGCTCGCCGCCAATGTGTGGGGGTCTTGGGGGTGGTCCAGGGCAGTCGTCCCGCGATGGGCTTCCCCTAATTCGGAGTGATGGGAAACCTGGAATCACTGCAAAACAGATGGGTCTTCGCTGTTCTTCCACACCCCCGACGTCACGATTTGTTCAGAACGCCGACCCTCTGAGGTCTCGACCCATTCCCCCGGACCGGTTTCCCATCCTGAGCCGCTCTCTGACGGCCCCGAGGGCCAGCAAGGGCCTCCAGAGGCTGAGAACATACGGGGAAACCTGCCGAATTCTGCTCTGTTCACTGCCCGAGGGGGGTCTGGGACTCCCGGCTCCCCCTGCTGCGCAGGCCCTCGGCCTGCGAGGTTGTCCGAGGCATGGCGTCCTCCGCGGGCTGCTCCGTGCCGTCCCGGCGCTCTCCCCGCCGGCCGCGGCACATCCCGGGGGGGGCCCCGGGCCGCCTCGGGCCGCGGGGCCGTGCTCCGGGCCGGCGAGGGGGCCCCGGGTGCGTCGGCAGTCACCACTCGCCACACCGCCCCAGCCCAGCCCGAAGGCCTCAATCTGACCTCCATTTCCAGTGGGGGGGGGGTCGGGGAACATCGAGAAAACACATATGGAGCCCGTACCCCCCCCCCCCACCCGAAATTCGGGTCTTCGGGTTGGGTTGGGGAGGTCTGGTAGGTAGTCAGGCAGGGAGTGGCCCCAGGGTTGGGGGGGGGGCCGAGCTCTCTCGAGGCCCGCGGACTGGAGTAGCACCTCGAAGAGGAAAAATCGCCATCAACAAGCTTTTGGCTACCTCAGGGGCTGCCCCCCCCCCCTCCGGAGGAGGAGGAGGAGAGCGACGAGCGGGGAGGTGGAGCGAGGTTCCGAGGCTCAAAAGCGAGGAGTGATGGCGGGAAGGCAAAGATGGATCGAAGAAGAGCACACGCCATAAACATAAACCGTCGCGGTGCTGATCCACCCGTCGCGGAGTGTCCTGGGGCCGTGTGGGCGCCCATTTAGGCAGTCGCACCCCCTTTTCGCGCCGTTTAGCGCCTCACGAGCGCCTCTGGAGGCACACTGGAGGCTCCTTGAGGCTGTATTGGGCCCTTCTTGGGCCGTCTTTTTGCGCACTTGGGAACCCTCGCGCGGCTGGTCTGGCGATTTTCTTGAAGCTCCCTGGGGGCCTTCCTGAGCTTCTCTGGGCTCCCAGGCAGGCCTATTGGATTCGTCTTGAGCCGAACAGGCGGGGAAGGCTAACATGGATTTAAGATGGTTGTTGTACTTGTTGGTTTCCTTTGGTGCCCTTCGAGCGCCCTCTTGAGCAATGTTGGCGCTCTCTGGGGCCGCCGTGGGGTCGTCTCGAGGCCCCTGTTGGCCCAGCTTGGGCCCTCTTCGTGGGGTGCCCGGAATTCAGCCTTCCCGGTCGGGATCATGATTCGCTGATCTGTTGTATGGATGTGCAGCTTCATGTGCAGCAGCACAGCTACTCAAAATCCGTGTGTATGCACGTGTCTCTAGTTGTGTACATATACCTATACGACCGCCCTGCGGGCGATAAGAAGGTTGGGGGGGATTGAGATCAAATGTCCACCCTGACTGACCTCCAGCCTGTCACCTTGATCTGGATTGATGGATTGGGTTGGACGGGTTGGATTGGGTGGGATGAGATAAGATGGAACAACATGGGTTTGATCAGATAAGATGGATTGGATGGGACAATATGGATTGGATAAGATATGCTGGATTGGATAAGAAAGCCCGCCGCAGGCGCCGACAATAATGAATCGATAGATTGGGTTGGGTGGATTGGATTGGATGGGATAAGATGGATTGGATACGATAAGATAGGTTGGATTGGAAGAAATGGATTGGATAAGGTAAGATGGATTGGACAAGAAAGCCCGCAGGCGCAGAAACAAATGAAGTGATGGATTGGGTTGGGTGGATTGGATTGGGTGGGATAAGATAAGATGGGACAAGATGGGTTGGATAAGATGAGATGGATTGGATGGGACAAGATGGATTGGATAAGATAAGCTGGATTGGACAAGAAAGCCCGCCGCAGGTGCCGAAACAATTGAATAATGAAATTCGCGACATGCGTCAGCGCCGGGACGCCCGGGACACCCAGGACACCGCCCGGCCCAACTGGGACACCTCCCGGCCACAGGCGGACGGGAAGCGGACGTTCGCTCCTAATGACAACGGGCACCCAGGACACCGCCCGGCCCAATTGGGACACCTCCCAGCCACCGGCGGACGGGAACGGACTTTCGCACCTACTTCGGCCCAGCTACAGGAGGATCATACTCAGCTTCGCCTCGCCCGCACGCACGACACGAACACGAAACCGAAACCGATTTCCCGGTGGGGGGTCTCCGTTTCTCTGCGATCTCACCCCCCAACCTCCGATACTCACATACCTATACGACCACCCTTCTGGTGATAAGGAGGTTGGGGAGGAGAGGGGGGGGAACCAACATCTGACTCAATCGATCTCACTATCGATCTCAGTCAACGGGACATCACGGGACACTTGTCGATCTCACTTTCGATCCCACTATCGATCTCACTCAACGGGACACCACGGGACACCGCGGGACACCTCTCGATCTCACTATCGGTATCAATATCGATCTCACTGTCGATCTCATTCAGCGGGACACCACGGGACACCTCGGGACACCGCATCGGTCTCATTATCGATCTCATGATCGATCTCACTCAACGGGACACCACGGGACACCTCGGGACACTTGACGTTCTCACTATCGATCTCACGAACGATCTCACTCAGCGGGACACCACTGGACACCTCGGGGCACCACATCGATTTCAGTATCGATCTCACTATCGATCTCACTGAACGGGACACCACGGGACACCTCGGGACACCTGTCGATCTCACTATCGATCTCACTGTCGATCTCATTCAGCGGGACACCACGGGAAACCTCGAGGCACCACATCGATTTCAGTATCGATCTCATTCAACGGGACACCACGGGACACCACGGGACACCAGCGGGACACCGGCGGGACACCGCGCGGCACAGGCCGCCGGAGGAGGAACATTTGGTCTAGCCGCGGCCCAGCCACAGGAGGATTTCGGGACACCCGCGGGACACCGGCGGGACACCGCGCGGCACCGGCCGCCGGAGGAGGAACATTTGGTCCGGTCGCGGCCCAGCCACCGGAGGATTTCCTCTCGCCCGCCCACGCAGCTTCGCCTCGCCCGCACGTACGCACGGCACGCACGACACGAACCCGAAACCGAAAATCGATTTCCCGGCAGGGGGGGTCTCCGTTTCACGTCGGACTCCGATACGCGCAGGCGTGCGCGCCAGCGTGCTCAACTGTGCATGCGTGGATTGACGGCGGAAAATGTGTGCGCGCGCGTGGTCCGGTGGCCCCCGAGAGGCGCGCTGCGCGGGCGCCTGAGACAGCGACCGGCGGCTGCCTG